GAACTCATTGCCGAATAATGGGGCGGTCATCGATATTTCCTTCTGTGTGAAATGAGTCCTATGTTGGATCTGAAGAGCCGTCCGCAGACACCACATGGTAGGACAAGAGGATTCAAGGGATGGTTCAGGGGATGGTTCAGGAGATGGTTCAAGGGATGGTTCAAGGGATGGTTCAGGGGATGGTTCAGGGGATGGTTCAAGGGATGGTTCAGGGGATGGTTCAAGGGATGGTTCAGGGGATGGTTCAGGGGATGGTTCAAGGGATGGAGAGCTCTAGCTTTCTTATATTTTCTCTCTTCATCGTCTCTTCTATTTGTCTTTTGGTGTCTTCGAAGGATGTTTTTTCGTCTACTGCTCGTCTCCAATTAGTTCTTTCTGCAACTTCCGTATCCAAAATGACCGGATCGATTTCTAACCTCAGCAAAGTGTTTTTGAGCTGATTCTTGAATCGACGACGTGGGGGCTTCACGTGGTCTCTTGCCAGATGCGAGCTGCGAGAAGAAGATTTGTTTGGGTAAGCGGATGTCTACCATTCGGGCAAGGTGTCCAGTCCATCGAAGTTCGTGGCGTGTTATGATGGTTTCCAGGATCTCTTTGCGCAAAGAACATTGTTCGTGATACGGTTATAACAATATTAGTAATTATAACAATATTAGTAATTATAACAATATTAGCTTACATCAAAAGTCTTTTACCGACCGTTATTTCAAAGCTTATTTTATGTAAAACTTTAAAGAAAATCCATTATTCCACTATATTATTATATATTTATATATTTTATATAGTAGTGATATATATTGATCAGATCGATTTCTGTCCCCAGCAAGATGTTTTTGAGCTGATCTTTGAAACAACGGCGTGGGACTCCACATGGCCTCTTGCCAGATGCGATCTCTAAGAAGAGGATTTGTTTGGGTAGGTGGATGTCTGGTAGTCGGGCAATGTGTCCAGCCCATCAAAGTCGGCGGCGAGTCATGATGGTTTCTAGGATCTCTATCTTTGCGCGGAGAACTTTGTTGTTCGTGATCCGGTCCGACCACGTGTTCCGCAGGATTTGACGAAGTTACATTTGATGAAATCTTTCACGTTTGCGGATGTCTCTTTGGTAGAGTACCCATGTCTCACATGCGTACTGGAGAGTCGAGATTACAACAGCTCGGTAGACCACGAGTTTGGTGGTTTGTGTTAGTCCAGGATGAATAAGTTATGAATAAGTTCCTGTATGCTGTGTGGGTGGCTTTGATTCGGTTGTCGACGTCTTTTTCAGTGGATGTATTTGATGCTAGTACACTACAAAGGCATAGAAATTGTTCAGCATTCACCAGGTCCAGTCTGTTGATGGTGTATTTTAACTCCAATTGGTTGTTAATTATATATAGTGGCTCTTACTCTTAAGCAAATAGAAATTTAACTATCCAGGAAGAGTTTTAACAGACGACAAAAAATCCGATGTCGCACAGGAACAGCGAAAGATGCTTTCCAAAACCTAAACAAAGCAGAGAAACAAGAAAATTTCATTAGAAACGAAGACGAGAGAGCAGAACTACGATATAATACCAATCTTACTTATATGGCAATCAAAGTTATACAATTTCATCACAGATGAAAAGGAGACGAGATAACAATGATGTGATTTAACAGAAGAATGCGGAGAATAACATGGACGGAGCTTGTGAACAACGAGGAAGTTTTATTCGATTACTGGTCATGTAAACACTTAAATCGAAGATTTTGGCTTGATAGAATCTGCCGAATAGGCGCCAACTACGCAAAGTTTTTCGACGCATGATGGCCTCGCAATATGAGAAAATCAAGTCTTGTAAATGAATATATTTACCTGTATTGACATATTTTCTTTTCTTTATAATTTTAGGGACAACGCGGTGGAATTGGGCCACCAGGACCACCAGGTGGAGCTGGAGATCGCGTAAGTAGAGTATTTCCCCTTTTAATCTGACATTGCTGGGTTTATTTTTGTTAGTCAGATATCTATCTATCTATCTATCTATCTATCTATCTATCTATCTATCTATCTATCTATCACATTCTGTTAATATCTATCAATAGTAATAGTACTAAAATATTTGCTTAAAATCCACTGATTTCTTAAATTACTGAGTTTTTGTTTCGTATATATATATATATATATATATATATATATATTAAAGTTTTTTTTTTATGTTTAACGTTCTTTTTTATAGATACAAGTATTTAAGTAAATGCTCTGTTTATAATAAACAGTATTAAATAACATTTACCGGCCAGATATTTATTTAAATACTTTTAATATAAAAAAACAACGTTAAACATAAAAAACGTTTTAAAATAAATAAATTGTCGGACTTTGTCCATTTCTTAATATATATATATATACGAAACACAAACTCAGTATATATATATATATATATATATATATATATATATATATATATATATATATATATATATGCGTGTGTGTGTGTTAAAGCACACCTGGTTAAAATGTGGTTTCCTGTAGAATACAGGTTCGATGATTTAGTAATAAGACTTTCGTCTTTCTAGGACATTGGATATTAATGTCATTGTTTTAAAAAAAAATGGTTAAAAAACCTTTATTCACTAATATTACATTTATAGTAATAAAAACAATCGTTGGATCAAAATCCAGTAATTACAAATATGGCCGTGATTGCCTAGAGGTTAAGTCGTTAGAGGTTACATATTCCCAGTAATTACTTAAAATACTACCTATCTGTTAACATTTATCCGTCTGTACTAATATAGTTGTCAAATCTGCGATACCCATGTTTTTTGACATGAATTGTCAATAAATATTTCCATATTAGAATTCCAGATGAAACTTTAATTTCGTTTTCTTTGTGATGTTGTAGAATTTAATTTTTATCACAAGTGAGAAACCGTTTGGAAAAAAAAAAAGAATGATATTTTCCGTCATTTTAGGGTGCCCCCGGAGAGCGTGGTCTTCCTGGTGCTGATGGACTCCCAGGACCAAAGGGAGCTGATGGAGAACGTGGACCACGTGGAAACAGAGGAGACACTGGTGCTTCTGTAAGTACTCCTAAATCCTAATCGCAATATTTGATATCGCTTGTAAAGTTAACGGCGCCAATTCGATATAATTTCCTTTTTATTTGCAGCCGTCTTCTGTCGTCTGTAAGTTTATTATATTAACGGCTATTATAATTAGGGCATGAAGCAGATAGTGATATTGAAAATTGAAAAAAAAAAAGGAAAAGCTGATGTAAGTCATCTTTAGCAGCCATCGTTTAGAAAATACTAAATAATATTTATTAATTAATATGTAACAATATTTTATATTATCTCACATTCAGTCTTTTAGTGGCTTTATTGGCTTGCTTGAGATGAAATGATTAAGAAATTGTTGATAAATTTAAAAGAATAAATAGTAAAATGAAATTACAAACACGAACTAAGTAAAACGTTTACCGTCATCTTGCCATCACCAAAAAAAAAAAAAAAAAAAAAATTAAGGAAATTAAGAACAGAAAAAGAAATCTCCATCTTCTTACCTTAAACATTCAAGTCAAAAGTTCTTTTTAAAACAATCAAAAAACAAAATGGCGGCTCATTACTGCCATTCAGACCAAAATCTAATGGCTGATAAGGAAAAGATACAAGTTAAATCTTACATTATAACGTGAAATAAGCATTTAACTAAGAAGTACACTCATCTGTAAAAGCGACACAAAGTTCTAAATCTATCGGCGATTCCATTTTTCGCGCTGATATTCTTCACACAATCTCTATATAATAATAATAATATTATAATGATAATAAGTAATAATAAATAATTTTTTCAATAATTATTCACATTAGAACTTAATATCGATTTTAAGACGATCTTCGGTGTTGTTCACATATTTCTGATTAACATAATGTTTTAGACCTTATAACGGACATATTAATGACCCAGTTATATCAGAAAGACTCAAACATTTTTGTATCTTTTTTTAGGGTGAAAATGGACGTCCCGGACCTCCCGGAGCCCAAGGCCCAAGGGTAAGTATTTGTTTTATCTACATACATAAAAAAGGTCTTAAAAACAATATACAACCTTACAATTAATATAAACCTTTTTTTTTCAATATATCCTCTTACTTACTAAAACAGTAATGAACGAATATTGGATACTTAAATCATATGGGAGAAAAATATGAGCTTTAAAGAGAGTTAAAAAAAAAACTTATGTAAATTTATTTATTTTGAAATAATTATTAATAATAATACTTTCTTCTGATAACGCCAGGTAGTAAGCGAAATATAAAAAAAATATGTAGAGCCCCTCCACCCCAAAAAAACATATCTATCTATCTATCTATCTATCTATCTATCTATCTATCTATCTATAAGCATTTAATTATATATCTCAATCTTTTTCTATCTATCTATCTATCTATCTATCTATCTATAAGCATTTAATTATATATCTCAATCTTTTTATATCTATCTATCTATCTATCTATCTATCTATCTATCTATCTATCTATCTATATATCATTTAATTATATATCTATCTTTATCTATCTATCTATATATATATAAGCATTTAATTATATATCTCAATCTTTTATATCTATCTATATATATATAAGCATTTAATTATATATCTCAATCTTTTTTATATCTATCTATATATATATATAAGCATTTAATTATATATCTCAATCTTTTTATATCTATCTATCTATATATATAAGCATTTAATTATATATCTCAATCTTTTTTTATATCTATCTATCTATATATATAAGCATTTAATTATATATCTCAATCTTTTTTTATATCTATCTATATATATATAAGCATTTAATTATATATCTCAATCTTTTTATATCTATCTATATATATATATAAGCATTTAATTATATATCTCAATCTTTTTTTATATCTATCTATATATATATATAAGCATTTAATTATATATCTCAATCTTTTTCTATCTATCTATATATATATATATATAAGCATTTAATTATATATCTCAATCTTTTTCTATCTATCTATCTATATATATATATAAGCATTTAATTATATATCTCAATCTTTTTCTATCTATCTATCTATATATATATATAAGCATTTAATTATATATCTCAATCTTTTTCTATCTATCTATCTATCTATCTATCTATCTATCTATCTATCTATCTATCTAAGCTCATATCTATCATAAAATAATCCAATAATGACATTTGTTCTAAAACTTCGCCTTTTCCCAAATCATTTTTATTCTTTTCTCTTTGAAGGGAATTCCAGGAGCTCCTGGACCCGACGGACGATCAGGACCATCCGGACCACCCGTAAGTATATAATAATAATAATAATAATAATAATAATAATAATAATAATAAACACAATAATTGACGTATCTCTTCCTGTATTTTTGCAACACAGAGAGGAGAGCGTGGTTTAAGAAAAGAAAAGACACAGTGTTTGACAAAGTTTAACATTATTTCTATAGTATGTCTGTTTTCTTCAAGTTACGTTTAAAAATTGAATACATGTATAAAAATATTTTTTATACTTGTTTACAATTTTTACTGTTGAGCATTGTCAAACACTCTTTTTCTTTTACTTTTCTTAAATTTTCTAAATGTTTTTAATAATAATAATAATAATAAATAATAAAATTGATTGGAAACGTTTCCAATACATTCATTGAAAGTATATCCGGTATCCCATGCCTTAAATACAAAACTCATACATTACGAAGAGCATTATTTATTTAAAATGTGTTATTGTTATATCTCGTACAAGATATAATAAACAAAGTAAACCCGAGTGTGGTTTTTCAATAATAAGTTTATAATCGGATGTAGGTATGTCAAAATACAGAGACAGCGTAGGAGTAAGCTAACCGCAATGGTGTTAGTAAACGAAGACCTTCTTTTTTGTCCGCTCTCTACTGTTTACTGTGGTCGTACTTTATCGGCCACCAGAACGTCCATTATCGTGAATGGGGAAGTTGGGTTATCTCATCACAACAGTTATCTTAGGTAGTTTTTACTTTTTTTTTTTTTTTTTACAAAAATGAGCAGTGGAAAATATCATGAAGCCATTTCTAACCTTAGGTTGGGACCTGGAAGGAAATGTGTATACAAAAAACCCCAAAGGAAATAATAATAATAATACATAAATGATCAGTGGAAAATGTGATGCCATTTATGACCTTAGATCAATGGTTGGGACTCAGAAATACAACAGAAATCCAAGGAAATAATAATAATAATAATAATAAATGTCCTGATGCTAAATTTGGCATCACTCTCATTGGTACTGATCGTAACTGATTGAAGGTATTATCACGTACATGTTTTGTCTTGGTGATTTAAGATGGGTTCCAGTAAATATCCCCTTGAGTACAACAGATTGGCTTGTTAATTCTCTTAACTTTACCACGTGGGCATGTCCCTCCGAGGTAGCCCCACTGTATATCTCTGTTAATGAGCGGGAGTAATAGGTGAGCATCACGACCGACTGTTGAGAGGGTTGATTTTTTGATTTTTTTATTTGGAAGAATGAAGCCATATAGGTGCCTTGTGAGTCAGATCTTGTTAGGATCGCTCTCGATTGGAAACCATCTAAGCGGACTGGGTTCCTAATTCAGCCCCAGGCAATGCGTTTCTTTTATCAAAACGTGCGACCATATCGTGCACTTATCGCTGTTAAGAAACGCATTTGGTATATATTTATTAGACTGGTTGTCTTGTTGGCTTCTATCTCACTTTTTGGCGTACTTCACTCACTAACCACCGTCGGCGCTTTTATCTCGTATCCAAGAATTTAATTTCTTCTTTTCTGATCGCTTCCATTATGATGACGGCGTTGATGATAAAGTAGACGAATTCTTGCATGGAAGAGTCGATGGCATTGACTGCAGAGTAATGTGGGTGGAAGACAAAGTCGATTTTGTCGAGCCTTATTCTGTCCTGTCGTCTGATTTCTTCCTTTTCTCATCTGGTGGCTTCGAAGTGTTTGGTTCAGATGGTGATGGAACATCGCCAGTTGGTGCGGTCTTGTGCTTGTGTTTCATACAATTTAGGCTATGAAAATCAAGCAACACAAAAGTAAAAATGCCAGAACTTCTTTTTCTCAGTATCGCGTTATCTGATGAAACTTTAATTAAAAGTGACACATGATAGATTGTAAAACGTTTCCTGTTTGTTCTAGTAGGCAGGAAAAAAGAAAGAAAAAACAGCAAGAGCTGTTTAACTTTGACGCTTTCGTTACGTTACCAAATTGTTTAACGTCCATGTAAGACGAGGTGTCGACATACGGGATTGTTGTTCAAGCCTAGTCGGATTATTCTTCTAGATTTCGATTCTCACTGTTTAGTTTACGGGTTGGAATGTATTTAATCTGGAAGTTTGTGATAAAATGAAACAATAAAATGAATTAACGAAAAGTTAATAAGAACACACTAAGAAATAAAAATTAACTGGAAGCGCTAGTATTTTAAAGGACAAAACTGTATATATTAATTCACGAAATAATGTGAACTGTTTATATAACTGTTTTTTTTTTCTTTCACATTTCAGGGACAACCTGGAAATGATGGAAATCCTGGAGAGATGGGACCACCTGGTATTCAGGGACTTCCAGGATCTCAAGGACCCCCTGGCAACAAAGGAGAAATTGTAAGTAATTTTCTTCCCATATATACGGAGAGGCTGAAATGTTCTAGGGCATATCTTTCTGTTTTTATGTGCCATGTCCTTTCAGGACGTAGGCGATCATGGCTCTCCACCTCCCTCTATCCCTTGCAGCTCTCAACAAGTTCCTTCCCTCTGCTTACTTCCCCAGACAACGTTCTGTCAACCACTTGCTTAAGCCTGCTAGATATGTCATGCGTTGTTTTCCCTTGTCACTCTTTCTCTCTATTCGCCCCGTGAGCATCAGATTCTCCAGGCTCTCCTTCCTCATTGTGTTCCAGAAACTTCAGCTGCCTCTTCCTGATATTAAGTATAAGCCTCCTCCTTGTTTGCAACCTCTCTAAGACCTCATCGTTGCTCACACGCTAGGCCCATGATATCCTTAGCATCCTGCTGTAGAGCCACCTCTTTGTCACCTCGAGTCTCTTCTTCATCTTTGAGAAAATTGTCCAACATTCGCTGCCGTAAAGAAGGACAGATGTCACGTAACAGTTCAGTATTCTTTTCTTTGTTACCAAAGATACCTTCCTGTCTCGCAACACTCTGCCCAACATTAGGAATGTGTCCTTGGCCATTGCAATACGTCTACGGATCTCAGTGTTGCACTTATCAAAAATAAATAAAGATAAAAGAGGGATTGAACATGTTTTTGTCATTTGGCTAAATTTAGAGAAGAGATATTTTTTTAATAAAATTCATCTAACCCAAGGCTCGAAAGACACTCAAGTTAGAATTTACTTTTAAAATGCTTATGATGAATGAGGTGTGTGGTATGTAGAAGATAGTAAGTTATAAACAATAAAGATTATGAGGATACAGAGGATAGATAACGATTCAAGATAACTCTTGAATTGAGGAGCTTAAGATTGTGGGGTTTAGGAAAAAATCCACGCGGGAGTCTATGCCAAAAGTAGCAGTTCTTGGGAAACAGCTGTCTGGGTGGAACTTTTTTCTTACATTTTGAATATGGAGGAAGTGAGAATGATTCGACTGGGTGGAATTAGCATGACGTGTCCGAAATGGAAAGGTCTTAACTGGTCAAACTAAAGACTGGCCCTCATGTGAACATTTTGCGATGGAAATAGCATTGGGTTGTTGCGTCTGCGGCAAAGACACCGCAGAGTGGAGAATAAGTCTTCCTCCACAAGACAACGTGAACTATTTCGAGCTTTATTAAGGCTGGAAAATGTGTATTGAAGTTTAATCTAACTTTTATAAAAGATGAAGAATACCAGAAAGAGGCAGTTACTTTCCAGAGAACTAGAAAGAGGCAGATATTTTCCTCGCATCTTTAGCAATGGATTGTAGTGCTCAGGGAAGTATTCATGCGGGAGCTTGTTTTAAAAAGTGTCAGTTCTTGGCAAAACGTAGTCTGAGTGGTATTTCCATATTACCTTTGGTATACGTAGCTGTTAATATTTGAACTGATGAATCTAAAGACATATTTTAATGGAATGATTGCTTGGAATGATTGCTTGGAATGATTGCTTGGAATGACTGACATACAAGAACAAAAAGATTAGAATGATTGATTGATAAAAATAAAAAATATTTTTAGAAAATTCAATCTGGTTGTCTGTAATGTTCGATCGATATGAAAGAAATATTTTCTCTCCGTTTGTAGGGAGCCCCAGGAAAGTCCGGCAAAGATGGTGAAATCGGACCAGTCGGTCTTCCCGGAGATCGTGGACCAACTGGAGCTCGTGGAGTCATTGGAGCTCCCGGACCTGAGGTATGTGTCATAGTTTTCAAGCACACTCAGATGTCTACATAGAAAAACATGCATACACTCACATGTACATATTCTCGGACACATATTTTCGCTACGCATATCTATCTATCTATCTATCTATCTATCTATCTATCTATCTATCTATCTATCTATCTCTTTTCACATCTACCTATATATCTATATATTCATATTTATCTCTTTACACATCTTTCAGTACATCTCCTTTCATATCTATCTATCTATCTATCTATCTATCTATCTATCTATCTATCTATCAAAATTAATATTGTTTGTTATTTTTCGTTTAATTCAGGGTGAACCAGGCGAGAGAGGAGGACCCGGTAATCCCGGACCCATTGGCCGACAGGTAAATATTTTATATCTTTTCCACATATTCCAATCAGGCTTGGCCCCAGTCGGAGGATTCGTGTGTAGTACGCACCGGTCCTGTATATACTATACCTAAGGGAGGAAAACTAAACAGTATTTAAATCCATACAAGCCTGACTCGTACAAATCGATATTCACTGGCACTTTCAAATTTCTTCTGAAGTTATTAATGTAGACGAAAAGGTACACAAGTCTAGCCCTTATTAGATAAAAAGGTACAAAAAGTCTGGTCCTTATTACTTAGAAAGGGGATGGGCGCTATCATATAAAATTCCATAATATCCCATCATGTTTCACCGACGATCTACTAGATCAAAAGATAATGTGATTTTAAACTTTTCTCTTCAGGGATTCCCTGGTTTGGCCGGACCACCCGGAGAGCCCGGCAAACCCGGTGAGGCTGGACCACCCGGACCTACCGGACCTGATGGACGCCCTGGACTTCGTGTGAGTATATTTACGACTTCCAATGGTTAATTATCAATTCAAAATTGATTTCGTAATGATTTCACGGTTTATGTGTTGCTTCTAGTTTTTGTTTAAAATAATGAAATGTTGAAACAATTTTTTTAATTCTTTATTTCTTCACTCATATAATTCTTAACGTTTTTTTTTTTTAACTTCAGGGAGAGCGCGGATACCCTGGAAACCGTGGTGAGCCCGGACCTCTCGGATCTGCTGGCCCCGTTGGACCACCCGGCCCCGCTGGATCTGATGGAGAGAGAGTAAGCAAATAAATAATCTACTAACCTATATTATAAAAGAATACCCGTCACACACTGCCTGCTTACCTTACACGTACGCGTGTAATGTATATGCACATGTCTGTGTTGTGCATAAGAAACTTACACGTGCTCGTACCATTTAAGCATAAACACATGCACACAAACTTTTTACCGAGTTTGGATAAAGAGATTCGAATAATACACCTCCTCCCGCTCACTAAAACAACTTAAAAAGAAAAAAATGTTTGACCCCCCTCCAAAAAAAAGGTAGATATTTAGAAAAAAACAATGGCATTGACTTTTGAGGTGACAAGGTGTACTATAGAAATTTACTGCCTTAACCGTCTCCAAATTAAGGTTAATCAGAGAAACCCCTCATCAACGGACTAATAGGGGGAGGGAAGTTCATTAAATCCGATTGTCCGGAGATGGGAAGGCATAATTTTTGAGTTATAAAACCACTATAGTAATTACTAATAGTTATGATCCAAATGTAAATACTATAAACATGTATATATGGCATCAATAAATATATACTTAATATAGATATATTAATCAATATAACAAAGATAATAGATTTCTCACTACTTTATCATGCACGCGCTAATGTATCCTATTTCCCCTCTTTGTTTACAACTGAAAGACCCTTCACAGCCGCCAAGCGGTCACTTTGTGAACTAATACGACTCCTTCCGCTATGCCCGCAAATTTTGAAATACATAGCTGACGATTTGGAAGTTTCTTCCTGCAGATTTTTAAAAATTTTGCCTACAGATTTTGTCTGTTGCATCCGAAGTACGTTGATGTGGGTCTGTAGATGAGAGGTCTGTCTGTCTCTCTCCCCCCTCTCTCTCTATATATATGTATTTGGTAAGACAACTCGATTACCTCCCCTGTCATATGATTTGTATAAATATATCACTCCGTCTTCGCCAAAACAGTAAGGCTCTCCTTTACGTACAATAAAGGCACATTAAGCCGAACTAGACTCCGAGTTTTCGTTACAATACAAATATGAGAAAAATTCTGCTTCCGACAAGAATCGAACCTGCGTCTCTTTTTGAACCCATTTTTTAAACCCGAAAATAACGTTTATAATAAGAACTAATTTCGGATAAAACATCCTTTAAAAAATTACTGTTGTTTAGGTTTCGGCTACGAAACTGGAATTAGCAGATATAGGTTCATAGAATTCATATATATATATATATATATATAGAGAGAGAGAGAGAGTGAGAGAGAGACTATTTACTATTTACAATTAAACACTTCAAAGCAATTTTATTTTTTTCGAAAAAAAAATTAATTGTATATAAAAACAATGATATGGAGTGTATCGTCAGTGGTAGTACTTTTGCAGTGAAACGGTCGGCCTCAAATGATTTGGGATGCAGAAATGTACTGGTCTATAGCCTACATCCAACTTTCACACGACTCCTGCGACGGCCACACTTCAGTCAAGTGTATGGACCTTCCGGCTAAACTATGTGAGGGTAGTCAAAAGGGTTTCCCGACATTATTGGTGGTGAACGCCTCTCCTTAATCCACCTGTGCCAAGCGGCCATCGGCCAGACACCAAACCGGGATTAGGAGCTGCGTCTCAGAGGTCAATGGCTTTAACAGTGGGTGGAGGAACTTCTGGGTGTAGGGACGGGATAACCTCTACATTGCCCATTGCAAAAGGAACTGGCAAGCCATTCGAATAATTTACCTTGAATGTCACCATTGCAACAGAAATAGGGGGATTGGTGACCACAGCGGCGCAAAATGCGCTCACTAAATAAACGAATGAATTAAAAATAATGAACATTTTGATTATGGCAAATGATTATATAGTACATATAGGAGGCCCCAAAAGTAGGTATACAATAACTATTATATATTACCAGAATTATAATAGTGGTTCTAGTAGTAATAATACTTTTTTCATTACTGTATGCCTACTTTTGCACCTCTGCATATTGATTATTAACCTTTTCGTTTTTTTACCATCTGTATAATATCCTATACATTATTTTCTTTTGTTTTTTAGGGCCCACCAGGACCTAAAGGTGCTCCTGGCGAGAGTGGTGCCCAAGGAATGATTGTAAGTATAAAACATTTTAGTTTTGCTCTTAGTAATATAAGTGATGACAATGGAAGAATAAACATCTTAAAACTATTTTAATCATCATAGCATTAAAATAATATTAACTGTTTATAATTCATATAATAATACAAAGGTTCTCTGTTACGTTGTTTATAAAACCGAGACCGTTGTAGATTTTTTGAGCAACTTGACTTATCGAAAAGAAGATATAGAAAATTAACTTTGATAAGGAAGAGAAAACATTTTATAGCCAGAAGACCAGATAAAAGCATTTACGTTACAGCATGATTTGCGGCGATGCTTATATTGAACATAGGAACCCGGAAGGGCTAAAATGCACATAACTTTAAGGTGAACGAATGAACAGTTCACGACATGCAGTAAAACGATCTTTGTTGTAGACTAGTTAGAATAGCCATGTTAATCAATCGTCGGAACTGGAGATAGCAAAATGACACAAAATATCTGGGAAATGTTTTAACAGAGGACAGAAAGTATGACATCATAATAATTGTTTCTCTGGGGGAAGAAATATATACATTTAAGTATATTTGTATATAATGAATTGCATAAAATATGTTTGCAAATAATGAATAGACTAGAAACAAATGACACACAGCGGCGTATGTTAATCACACTTATCATCAGTGATACTATTATACAAAGACTTCAGTTTTTTTTTAAATTACAAATGGAGGAATTCGATTTTTTTTATTCTTTTCAAGAAAGATTATTTTTTTAGATCGATATTTACGTGTATGATATTTTATGGCGGAAAGTGCTGAGGTACCGTCAATAAAAAAAGAACAGCTTTCATTTTTTTAGTAATTCGGCCCTTGTTATGATGAACTATATCTCATGGGTTCCATTGCTCGAGAAAGAGTTCCCATATCTGCTGTAAAGATACTATAGATGCATAATTCGTGGGCCAATGGTGCAATATTGAATTGTTGTTACGTGCATTTCGTTCGTTCGGCAAATTAATATAGGTCTCTAACAGTCGATGGTGATGTAGAGGTTCGATTGATGTATAATTAGTGGGTCAATGATGTATTATAGAATTTTTATAAGGTGACCTCTGTTATGTGGATTCTGTTCGTCCGGCAAATTGGATAATCCTGTACGGTCACAAGTGACGTTGTATTTAATAATAATTTAATATAAGTTTCTAATTGTCGATGATGTAGAGATTCGATAGATGAATAATTAGTGGGTCAGAAGTGTATTATTAAATTTTTATTACGGGGATTCTTTGGTCCGGAAAACGGATAAACCGCTAATGTTCTGGAAAATTGGTAGTGTATATCTGGTTTAGGTAAACTTCTTTTGATAGTAAAATTTATATATGAATGTAGACAATATTATAATACTATAATAATTTACTATATTATTGCTATTATTATACATATGAATGTATTTGAGTAGACCTTGTCTATTGTGTTGCAGGAATTCTAATTGTTGGAGGGATATAAAAAAAGAAAAAAGAATTTTTTATCTTATGAATTTAACAAATAACTTTTTGTTTATCCTTTAGGGTATGCCTGGACCAAGAGGACAGTCTGGTGCTCTCGGGCCAAAGGGCGAGAGGGTAAGTATTTTTATTATTACTGATTGCTCCCCATACCAAATGTGTGAAAACAGATATTGGCAAGCACGTCTGTACAGATTTTCAGTCATCGTGGGCTCATTTACTTCTGCCTTGTGTCGGACTAATTTACTCAGATCCCATAGTCCCCACTGAAGACTATGAAGCCATACATATCAACCGTTGCGACTGTGATCTCCGTAGCAAGTAGGTTTTTACGGGGTGGATTTGATAGTTCCATGTACAACCAATTTGAATTCAGGGTTGTCCTTCTAGACTAGTGGATAACCAAGGCTGAAGTGTCCAGTCTGTTCTACTATTTAACCCATAGCTGGTTATTGGAAGAAGAGATGGGTTCATAATTTTCCGAAGAGTTTTTGCGGGAAAGTGAATAATGTAACGAACTCGACTAGAATTAGAACTTGGATCGCTTGATTTCCTGTTTCGAGTCGCTAATTATTGAATCCCCTGCACATTCTATGCCAGACTAAATGACTAAATAAAACGAGTACAGTTGATTTCGTTTCTTCCTAATCTTTGGCTCCTTCTCTCTTTCTATTCCTAACCCTTAAGTTTCAGTTATGTCCTTTGTTTTCTGATATAAAAAAAAATCGCTTTATTTTTTATACATCATTGCCGAAATAATTACATATTTACCGAGTTTAGATAAAAGTAAGGATTTCGGATGCTGATTTTCAAGCTAGAAAGTTTCTTCAGATTTCAAAGATTGGCGCAGCACAATCTTTCAATCCCGCACTAAGCAAAGTAAGTTAAATATCAGTAGCATAAATGGATTAAAAAATACATTAATAAAAAACCAAAATATTAATGTCTGTTACGTTTTTAGGGTTATCATATTGTAAATCCATTAATCAAAAAAGTGTACGGAGAAAAAAATGAAGTAAAGGCGGGAAATTCAGAAAGGGGGACATTAATGCAATTAACCGGCAAAGTAGTAGAAACGTTAACTAACTTCGTTTAACGATGAATTAGTTAACAGTTATAGTTTTCTTATGTTCAGACTGTGTGACCATTTCATACTAAACTTAAATTACTCCGAACATTTTTAGGGAGAACCAGGAGCTCGTGGTTCAGATGGTTCCCCAGGACGTCCCGGACGTCCAGGACCTATTGGACTTGCTGGAAACCCTGGACCTATGGGACCTAAACCCGATAAAGGTGCTCGTGGTGAACCTGGTCTTTCTGGTGACCCAGGACAGCCTGGTGCACCCGGAGACAGAGGACCTCAGGGACTTCAAGGAGAACAAGGAATCGCTGGTATTCCTGTAAGTATCACCGTTGTTATACTTTGTATACATACATATTCATATAGATATATAGTTCCTGATATAAATTAATAAATTAATCCGAGTACAGTCATCTAAATTGACTGAACATGGCTTAATGAATTAATCTCATTTCTCTTGATTCTTTTTAGGGACCCGTTGGACCACCTGGACCTAAAGGACATTCAGGAGAACGTGGAATTAAGGTGAGTAAAATTTTCAACGCTTAGAAGATATCACAGAAGAATATAGCCAATTCAGTCTTCACAAAAGAGCGTTTACTAAATGATATCATCATCATTATAATTCCTATGTCCGGTTGTGGAAGAAAGCTCGCAGCGCAGCCGAGCACCTTACCAGCTCCTTCAACATCTCGGTAGCTATTCGTTCACGTGGACCGTGTCTTGGGCAAAGTAGACCTAGTGGAACCAATCTCTCTGCAGGTCAGACTACAGCCGAGGTCCTCACAATTGAAGACTCGCCTTGATCACGGACACGTGACTGATTCAATCAGAGAAACTCGCTGCCTTGTCCGTTGACTTCAGTTTAGGAAACACTTCGATGTGCCACCACCGCCCTGGATATACCGTCACCTTACATGCAAGCCACCAATCTGCCACTGGGCGGCATGCCACAAGTGTTTATCGCTGGTGGTCCGCTATCGGACTGCCGGCGTGTTCGTCTCGGCAATGTTACTACTTGCGGACCGCTAGTGGCCTACCGTTGGCCTGCCGGTGGCTCACCAGAGAAGTGCTGGCGGGCCACTAGCGTCTTGCGTGTAGGGTAGTGCAGTCTCCAGTGCGCAGATTTAGCCTGCGGCCGTTCGAAATTCACAGTAGTTACTCTGTCTGGGCCGAAGTCGGAACCACTACATATAGATTTTCCTGCATAGTTCGGTGCCAGAAGTGGTGAACTAAGGCTTAAAAAATGATATATTTAAGGATATTTTATTCTTCAAATAACCTATTAAAGCATTTAAAATAGTTAAATTTTATCAGATCTGCTATCTTCTGTTTTGTTTGTGATACAACCATCCAATCTAGCACACACACACACACACACACACACACACACACATATATATATATATATATATATATATATATATATATATATATATTAATAAATATACATAATATCCATATATATACATAAATATAGCTCTGTTGTATTACATCGAGCATAGTTTTATTAACACCAAAACTATATAATGATATATATATATATATATATATATATATATATATATATATATATATACACCTAGTGAGCCAGACAAACCTACCTAGGTTTCACCTAAACAGATCGTCAGGGAAAGTTTGGCTAACGAAGCTAAAAAGAAACACATATTTATAGGTGATAGCTAAAATCATACCACGTGACAAAAAAAAAAAAAAACACATATATAAAATATATATATATATATATATATATATATATATATATATATATATATATATATATATATATATATATGCTATTTTCTGAAATGATCTTTGATTTTTATTACATATGAATAAATATTTTCCCTTTGTACAGGGAGAAGCTGGAACTGTCGGTGCTCCCGGAGATCCTGGACCTCCTGGACCAGCCGTAAGTAAAATTTAATATAAAATATTTTTTTTTGTTTTTACTTTTCCTTAATGACGCCAACCATGGTGATATTAAATTTTCTCCTGGCCACCAAAATCGCTGAGTAATCGGTAAAATGCAAGTCACTTAGATCATTACTGCAATTTGTAAATTCAGCACTTATTGAGAACTTCATAAACTTGGCCTTGAGGAAGGCTAATTAGTAAACATCGATACGTTTTGTTTTTTATATTAATGAGTTTAGGAGACTTCTCTTTAATCGAGCGTATTTTAAAATATAAAGTTTTTTTTTTTCTTAAAGTTGTTCGTCACTATTATTTTATTACAAATAACTGATATTAAAAAATTGTATTATTGAGATATTCTAACCAGGATTGAAAGGGTTTAACATATATTTTAAGTTAGCGTTTCTTTTTAAATGATAGGCCATTATTTTATGACTTATAGCCTTTTGAATTATGGTTTGTTCTAATTTATAATTAAAACAACAATATTATTAATGTAGGGACAAGATGGTATCCCTGGTATTCGTGGAGCTCGTGGTGAGCAAGGACTTGCTGGTATTCCCGGTGAACCTGGCTCAACTGGTCGCCCAGGACTTCAAGGACCACCCGGACCTTCTGGAGCCCCCGGAGAGGTCGGTATCCCTGGAGAAGTTGGACCCAAGGTAAGTAAATACTACTACTACTACTACTACTACTACTAATAATAATAATAAGCAATAACACATTTGATATTCAATTTTAAGCTTACTTTTTTTTTTTTTTAAATCAGTATCACCCCATGCAAGGCAGTAAATATACAAGGGGTTACAGCGTCTGAAAAAATTAGGAACAGAAACATTAGTAATGAACGGGAAGAGAAAAGAGTAATCAGAAGGACAGTAGATATCGATTGACATTGCATTTAAATTTTTAGAGATTAAAGTTGACTGGAAAGCATGGAGACGGTAGAGAGTTCCACAAGCGAGAAGTGCGAGAAAAGAAACTGTTACATCTAGCAAGCTCAACTGATCTCGACGCCAGTCTAGTATTGCGCTTAAATTAATAAAGTCTAGATATAATAGCGAATAGCTTATCCGAACAATTACCATGAAAGTATTTATAGAAAAGACACAGAGAGGCAAACTTGCAATAGTGGGAAAGTAACTGCCAGATCAGGACCAATAAGATTGCCGATTCTTCAGATTGTTTCAAAGAGCTCAAGGAAAATAGCAGGGGTACCAGACAATATGCGGCAGCAATATTATAGATATGAACAAATGGTAGACTTATAGATATGTAAGATAGATTCTGGAGAGGAAAATTGTCTCGTACGACGCGGTGCACCAACTTTCTTAGCAGCTGACTTAGCAATGGAAAAAGATTGTTTCGAAATGAAATTTCGATTTTTTCGTTATCTTGGCCCTGTTAAACATCCATCCAGAAAGCAAATTCCTTTAAAGACGTACATCCGTCGGGATGCTAGCCAATCCTTGTTGCAGATGCCTGCTCAGGCATATGTGCGTGGCTTATACTGCAACTCTCCTAAGCGAACTTTAGTTACAGTTTGAGGGGAGAAGGCGCATAATTTGGCGTGATCAACATTTTGAACAAGGCCAGTATGCTGAAACCCTCAGTCACAATGACTTGAAACTTTCAGCTAGCACAACCGTCAACGGCCGAACATCCAATTTCAATCACAATGTTTGGTCCGACACCTGGGATAGTTTACAGACAATTTCAAAAGTTGCTGCGTGCTAAGATCGCCTCTCGAGGCCGATAACAATAAGAAGTTAACATGTTGACAAGTCGGTCATGATGAGATTCGAACCCGAGTCTCATGGTGGGAAACTATCTAAAAATTATCTAATACCCATAAACAACCAATTTCAGATTAGATTATGTCATGCAACATTGTCTTTATGAAAGAACAAATTAAAAATTAGTTGACCTAAGAAATTAATTGATTTATAAAATAACGCCTTTTAAACAGTAACTGTTAACAGATTCAATTTTATTATCTTAATCCCTAATGATTGAATTAAATCTGAAAAAAACTTGAAATGATTAAAAAAATAATTTACTTTCATTTGTTTGCGAAACATTCGATTAGATTGCTATAAGTCGTGATTGGCTGAGAGCATTATAATCAAGCTAAAAATTTACTTTATTCGTTCTCTTTAGGGAGCTCGTGGAGAGACAGGAAGTGCTGGACGTAATGGAGATAACGGTGCACAAGGATTCCCTGGTATCCCTGGACAAAAGGGAGCTCGTGGTGAGGACGGAAGTTCTGTAAGTAAAAAGAATTTACATATTTAAAAAGAAAATCACGTGAAGTACGCACCCCAAACCTACAGCTAGAAGTATGTCCCATTAATATCTATTTTCCTATAGTGATTCAATACAGCTTAATATATATATATATATATATATGTATGTGTGTGTGTATATATATATATATATATACACACACATATATATGTGTGTGTATATATATATATACACACACATATATATACTCACTTACATACACATATATATATATATATATATATATATATATATATATATATATATATATATACATACACATATAGACAGTCAGATATATATAATACCAAAGCGAAAAATAATAAGCAAGACAAAGTCAAGCCAATACTTGTATATTTTTTTAAATAGTGGTCAATACACAATTTAGAAAAATTGAATTTGTGAAGCTGATAATATATATTGTAGTGCGTTGCTCGTTATATTTTTCTAATCTTATATATATATATATATATATATATATATATATATATATGTAGTTTAACATGTTTTATATGTACGGGTAAAAGTGCTCAATAGAGCGTACGTAAACATGGCAGTGGACACTGAAGTCAATCGGCGTCAGTCTCTTTCATGCTTCAATACAATCTTCATTGGCTGAAGGTTGAATTCAAACATAAAACAGACTATCGCCGCTGTGTCCTACTTGTATCCACTTTACATTTTTGTATTTATATATCTATATATATATATCTATCTATATTTTCGCATACGTATTTTCATATATATATATATATATATATATATATATAGTCACATATATATATATTTATATATATTTTTATATATACATAATACTCTAATATAATTTCTTTATATATATTCATATATATATATATACTCATATATTTGTATATATACTCATATATATTTATATTATGAGTTTTTAAAGAGCAAAAAGATAAATATTTTTAGTGAGTAAATTTTTAAAGAGTTAAACATTTCTAGAAGCTAAATTTTGAAAGAGGTAAACAGTTTTAGGGAATAGATTTATAAACAGGTAAACATTTGTAGTAAGTAAATTTTTAATGACCTAAACATTTCTAGAGGGCAAATTTTTAATGACCTAAACATTTCTAGAGGGCAAATTTTTAAAGAGCTAAACATTTATCGTTACCGGATCAGTTCTTATTAAGAAAATTTACAATATTTTTTGTGTTCCTTGGTATATTTCATTTAATGACGCCAAATATTCTTTGAAAAGCTCAAATCTAAACAACCTTAAATTAACAACCTTAGAGAATTTACCAGTGTCAAACATCAGTTTCCTCTGAATTTTTCAGGGCCCAGTTGGACCTGTAGGAGCTGTAGGTCGTCAAGGTGAACGTGGTATGCCCGGAAACCCAGGTGTACAAGGTGAACGTGGACCCAAAGGACCTCTCGGACCTCAGGTGAGTTTATTTTTTGGTAAAGTGCAACATATAACTTAAATTTGTGCTTTAAATTTTCTTAAACCTTTTTTTCTGTGTGAATATTGGTTTTAACACCACCGCTACGAAACGCACATTGTTTGGTTGACGTATATATACATTTTTGGCTGACGTATATATACATTTTTGGCCGACGTATATATACATTTTTGGCTGACGTATATATACATTTTTCATGACACCGTATGAATTCGGTCGCTAGTGTTTGTGTTGTAAACTGACTAGCGCTTAGTGCTATTTCCAAACTAGTGCAAACTTATAGTAGCACACAATACAGCATGTTTGGAAACCTAATTTTTAAAAAATTATATTAATAGAGCATTAAAATCGAAAACAAAATGGCTGTACCCATGTTTAATCGCTCTCAGTTTTATATTAATTCATCTCCAATAAATGGCAATTTCCTAGTTTAACAAAAACGGGCCAGCACAGCTAGGTAATGCAACAGTGAAAGTGCTTGTCAATGTTAGTAGTTGACGTGGTTTTTCGTTCTGTGAGATAATGGAAATAATTCTTTTCTTCAAATTTAATTCTGTAACCAAAAACAATAAGGCGATCAGTTTTTCCGCGATGCTTTTTGCTATATAGGAATAAAGTGTCGCTGCCGACACTTGAGTTTGAACATAGATCGCCAGTGAGCAAAGACAGCCGATCCCATTATTGAAATAATGAGATCACGTAACCATAGAGGAAACGCATAAATAGATTGTAGCGTGACGTCTAAACAATCTCTTTTTCTAGTCTATCTTCTATTACTATTTAGATCGCTATTTCTACACTATCCTCTATTACTATACGGACCGCTATTCTCTATACTATTCACTATACTATTTCTCTATTCGGATCACTATACGGTGGTTACTTTTCGAGCGTGTATTATCGAGCAAGTACAATTAGTGCGTGGGATATTTGAAGGCGTCAGACACTAGCATTATTCAACGGCGTACTATAGTTGTATCTGCGATTACAAAGCCTCTACTACAAGAGCATTCCAAAAGTGACAAGTACAACATCACCAGAAATGGCAACGGGTGTTCGTTGACATCACAAAACTTTTGCAAAAACGACAATCAATGAAAAAAAAAAATCAATGCTTGTGTGTACTCACTGGAAAACCTAAAAGGTAATTAAAAATGAGATATCAAAGCAGTACGTGTCTTATATCTTGTCCAGACACAAATTCCACCAACATAGAAATGACTTCAATTAAACCAAAACAAACTTGATTAGTGAATCGTCAGATATCGATGACACCATATAAAATGAAGGGTGTATAATTTTCTGCATGTTTCTTTGGCCGTGACTTCTGTCAGTTTGAATCAACCAGACGTCTAAAAATGGTCAATTAAAAAATTAAAGAAAAAAAAAAAACAACACACGGCATCACGCAATATTTAAAAAACAAAAACAAAAAACAAAAAAAAAACGACACGCACAAATAGCCTTTTTGATAATAGCTTATAAAAACTAAAATTACTTAGACTCTGCATGATTTTTATTTAAACTTTTACCGGAAACCTACAAAAAATGGCCCGGAATATAGCAAAGCAAAAAAAAAAAAAAAAAATCTGACATATATAATGATAATAATAGTTATTATAGCTTGTTTTCGGACAGTAACATCTCTGTCATTTCCTCTTCTAAAATAATGAAAATAATAAGTCTAATAAAATAATATAGGCGTTTGAACATTGGTGGAGTTTGATAATCAGTCTACGTCCTTGTTCTTCTTCAGGGAGACGCCGGAGACGCAGGTAGCCCTGGACGCGATGGTGCACAAGGACCTCAAGGTCTCCCCGGACCTGCTGGAGCTGCTGGTATCCCAGGAGAAACCGGACCTGTGGTAAGTAAAAATTGAAACCTAACTCATCTGAATATTGCAAAATAAATAAATATTATACTCACTTTTTTCTTCCCAAATGGTTAAAACATTTTGCCATGGTTTTACCTGCATAGTTGAGATACCTCAATGTTTACCGTCGACTACCAATACGTAGCCTAATTCGAATATTTGCGTTGGTACCTCTCTGTCTCGATGGTGCCATGTAGAGCGGTACAGGCCTGAATTGGAGCTATAGAGATTACCCATACGTCAAAACCCCATCTCGGTGTAGAGTCCAGATAAAGAGAGAAACTAATACAGAAGGTGCTGGAAGATGAAGCAGGACACTGTCCACTCGCCTCTATACTTGTATAGGGTTTGCTCCTTTGCTTTTCGTTTCCCTAAATTATCCAAAAGGCAGTGGGAGATGGTAATTTCAAAATGTTCCTTCTCTTAGATTGGTTGCATGGAAATATTCAACTATTATATTATGCATAGGTTCGCCCCAATTAGCAAACTACTGATCAGAACTCTGACGACCTGAACTGAGTAGAGGGTGATTTGAATTCTTACAGTGATGTATTGTTTTGTTTAAGTTTTGATATAAGACAAAAAACGCACGCTAACTGTCAGTACGGCTGCAAAAATTGAAGCGTCAAAACGTTTTGCCGCACCCAGATTCCTTGGTGAGACAAGCCACCGAATGGTGACGGTTAGTTGACCAACATCCGTTCTATTTGTCTTTCACTCCCTCTAGTTTCTACTAAGAAACGCTGCTACTACTATTATCTCTCATGAAATAAATCGAATAAAAAAAAAAAAATTACCCGTCGTTCATTCAGTTTGTTATGCAGAGTTGGGGGTTTGAAGAATTGAATCTGGGGACGATACAAAACGCAACAACACCCTGTTTTATTAATCAACTATTGCTTAGCTGTTTACCAGCTATGTTTATTGGAGTTACTTTTATACTGTTTGATAATCCAAAATCGGTGAACTAGTTTGCTTATCGTAAATTATTTCATTAGTGAATAATTAGAATTATTTTTGTTTATTTATGTTTTAATTTTAAAAGGTGTTTATTTTATTTCTTTCGCCTTATAACAATGCTCTACAACATGGACGCTTCAAAAAGATAAATAGCTAAACTTATCTAATTTTAAAGCACTAAAAATAAAAAAATATCCAGAATTGTTGATTGGCTCTAGATGTCAAGATACGGTACTAGTGTTAGGTAAATATTTTGTCAAAATGGTGGTCCTTTTAAATATTATATATATAATTATTCTCCTAATAAACTAATCTATGCCTTTTGCAATGTCCATGATTTGGAGAGAGACAACCGATCATGCCACTGATTGCTACTTGATTGCTATGTTGATGTGCTTGTGTATTGCTCTGGTAGCCTACACAGAACAGAACATCAAAGCAGATTTTGCAAAGCACCATCGTTTTTCTTGGCGACAACCACTGTACTCATGTGTATGATATAACTGACTAAATATCTCTAAATCTAGAGACAATCATTTAATTTGAAGGTCAGTTTCAAATTCAGTAGGCCAAAATACATAAGAATTGGTGCATTTCATTTCTGAAGTAGTCAGTTTGTGAAAAACTGTAGACCAGTGGTACTATTATATCCTTAATACAGATTACTTGTGTAAGATTACAGAAATAGAAGCATGACACATGAATAGAAACTTAGAGAAAATAAAATGGTACTTCATAGCTGTTATAAAAGAGATAATGAGCAATAAAAATATTATTGCAGAAAATTCCGTTTCATCATGATAAAAAACACGGCTTTGAAAAAAATAAATAACATTTTTAAAAGAACTTCTTTATTCTATGAGCTGATACCATGCAAGAACACATTCTTTTTCTCTGAATTTCTGTGATGAGGAATTTATTCATTTAGACTAGTATCTTCACCCTGGTTATTTTTTTTTTATAAGGTTTTAACTAATATACTCTCAGACCTTCAAATACCAGTTATATTTTTTCACATTCTATTTTGAACTGAATCCTTTATTCAGTCCTCAGGGATCGACTGTTCCCATTCCACTGTCTATGAGAGGGCAGAAATTTTGTATTAGTTAATTAATCCATGAGATGCCAGTTTGCTTGTTTTTTTTTTCTACTGAGTCCCCCCCACCGCCGAGATCAAACTGATTATATTATATATCTCACACTTACACACCTCGTATCGTTTCAGGATATAAGTAATCATGGCTCTCTACAGCCTCACAAAGATGAAATAAAAATTGGAAAAAGATTATCTACTAGCGTAGACAGTGATATGAGAACACCGTGGACTGAATGAATGAATTTATGTATTCATATATTTTAAATAATAGAAGGTTTTGAATTTAAACATAATTAACTAAATATGTCTAAATTTAGAGCCTATCATCTAATTTGAAGGTCGTTTTCGAATTCATCATGCTAAAAATTGACACATTTCATTTCTGAAGTAGTCAACTTGTGAAAAATTGTAGCTGAGTATAATTTCAATTTTTATACATTTATAGGGAAGCCCCGGCGCTGATGGTGAACCAGGTATTGCTGGACGACCCGGAGAGCAAGGTATCCCTGGTGATCCCGGACCAGTTGGAAGAACCGGACCAATGGGTCTACCCGTAAGTATAAGCTGATCTTTTCCCAATCTAGAAAAAAATCATAACTTTATATCGAACAGCTTAAAGATAAATAAAAATACTTACAATTATTTCTACGTTGTTTCCAAGGTAAATAACAGGCAGGGAATTTCCACTAAGATTGATTATGTAGCTCCAGCAAAAATTGTTTTATAAGAATAGGAGAACGGATGAAACATAAATTTATCGTAAATTTATTCTTCGTCGTGCGATACTGAAATCTAAAGGCGCATTGGGATAGCGACAGGTGCTTTCCAAAAGCTAAGCAAAATATTAAAGAAATTTTTGTCAGAAACAAACAAACAAAAAAAAAGAGTACTGAACACTTACGTAATATCAGTCCTATTATATATCAGTGAATGCTGGACTGTCTTCTGGCAGATGAAGAAGAAACATGAAGCAACAGAAATGTGGTTATATAGAAGGATGCTGAGAATACTATGGACAAAAGCACAAGGAAGCTACATTTTAAATCAGCTGGTGTGCATGGCTGTGTGAAAATGTCCAGTAGATACATTAAAGAAACAATTTCACTTGCTTGTTGGTGTTTTCGAGAGTTAAGAAAGCTTTTTTTTAAATGGATTACACATTATGTTAACAACAAAGAAATGACAGATTTAGCATTCGAACAATGTAGGGTATATAAATATATATCGATTGCTTTTTATTTATAAAGATAACAGGTTTCAATTGACGTTTATTAAAGAGGTATTCATTTGTTTTAACGCTTATGTGAATATTTTTCTTTCTTCTATCAAATAGGGACCTGTCGGACCTCAAGGATCACCCGGTAGCAATGGAGCCAGAGGAGAGAAAGTGAGTGATTTGTTTTGTCACTAATTTATTTTCGGTTTTGTTAAAATAATAAAAAAAAGGTTCTAATATAGTTTTCTTTCAAATATGTAATATTGATGAGTTAAGATCAAATAAAAATTGTTCCACTGAATGTTATTATCGCATAAATCTCTGCTATCTATCTATCTATCTATCTATCTATCTATCTATCTATCTATCTATCTCGGCCTGCTTTATCTATCTATCTATCTATCTATCTATCTATCTATCTATCTATCTATCTATCTATCTATCAAGGTAGATAGCTAGATAGAATAAACTTAATTACTCCGGCAACAATTGATAACCCGTTGAAGATTTTCAGCCACGCGCGGTCATCTTTTGTATCTGCATCAGCTGTATATATATATATATAATGCATAAACATATGTATAAATATATATATATATATTTAAAAACATTTTTTTATATTTATACGTTCTTTTTTATAGATACAAATATATAAGTAAATGCTCTGTGTGACGTTATATATATATATATATATATATATATATATATATATATATATATATATATATATATAATGATAAGATAAAGAGGAAACGTTTATCAATCTAACTTGTTTCACTTTTATGAAATATTTAAATGTTAGATTGATGAACGTTTTCCATTTTTCCTATCTTAGCATTCTGTCGGATTCCTATCTATCTATCTATCTATCTATCTATCTATCTATCTATCTATCTATCTATCTATGTGTGCGTGTGTGTATACTGTGCGTTCTTCACATGATAAACATAATATTTACCCGTTTGTTTTGTTATAGATTATTTCAGACTCTACACTATTACTTGTTTATTTTGCATTGATAAAAAATCGATTTAAAATGACATTGATGCATTGTATCATGTATTTATATTTTAGGGAGACGTTGGACCACCCGGACCCGCTGGTTTGGCTGGTGCCCGTGGTATCCCTGTAAGTATTGAGTTTCTCCTCAGTGTATTTTTCCCAAATTCTGTATCTCCAGAAATATAAAATTAAAATCAAGAACTATCAAAGAACATTTTTAACTACCGATTGTATATTTTGCATTTGATTTAACGGTGATATGGTTTCATAAACAACTTATTACTTTTTGTTTTTAGGGTATTTCAGGACCTGTCGGACCCGACGGACCTCGTGGACCTGTAGGAGCAAAGGTACGTATTTTATTTACCATATTCTAGATTTTAAATGTGATCGCAAGCAACAACAGTCCAGTAATTGTGCTAATGGTTTTGCAAATCGTTGATGGCCGTTTCTACGTAAGTCATGGAAACATCGAGCAGTTTTATGTGGGGAGTTGACTTTTAACAACATATAACGTGTCAATGAAAATATGAAGTACAAAGAAGCAACAAGAAAAGACATCTATTTGAAAAGAAAAAACAACCCAAAAACACACACACACACACACACACACATTAAAAAGAAATGATTGTGTGAATAGTATTGTGTGAATAGTATTGTGTGAATAGTATTTCTTTTACCAACGAGCCACTCTCCTGGAGGATAGTATCAACTCAGCTGATAGGAGGCAGGAAGGACTCCTGTAAGTGATTGATGGAGAGAAGTTTTGCTTTGGAGGCGTTAAAATTAGCAAACCATTCCTTGTTCCAGTTAACAACAGACCGTACTGAGTATATATGTTTGCTTATAAACACTGACATTGAGACAACATTGCTTTTTAGATCTTTAAAATGAAAGTAAATGAAATTCGTTTTTCTTTCAATAGAAAATGCTCTAATTTTTTTTATTATTTTTTTTAACGAAGTATATATATATTTTTATTTCAGGGTAGCAAGGGACATCGTGGATTGCATGGTCTTCCAGGTCTTCCAGGACCTCATGTAAGTTATAGTCATTCTTTTTGAACGATAATTTTTAAAATTCACCGTGTGAAAATAATTTTTAGTACCATTCAGACGTGAGTTTTAGCCGAAAATAAATATCAGCGTGCTTAACATTAAAGAAAATAACATTTTTTTGAAAGAAGCGGGTATAAATTTAACATCTGTTTATATTTCTGAGGTGAGGTATTGTAACTACATACACTATTTACATTGACCGGACTGTTGTCCTCATCTTTATTGTCATATTCACGACGTTTCGGTCGTTGTACAATCCGGCCTTCTTCAGGATGTGTCTATATTTTTGAGATGAGGTACTGTAACTATTTACAATATTTACATTGATCGGACTGTTGTCCTCATCTTTATTACCATATTATTTACGACGTTTCGACCATTGTACACTCCGGTCTTCTTCAAGTGATATTTGTTAACTATGACCTGGAATGAGAGAAGTAATGGCAATTATCCTAGTTCCATCATAAAAATTAGGCTATTGAATTAGTAAATAATTTTTTATTTACTAATTCAACAGCCTAGTTTTTTATGACTTAAAATATTTCGGTGTATTAATCAGTTATGAAAAAAAATTAGTGAACAATTTTTTTAAAACATTAAAATTTTTATTGAATTCTATAATTTTATTTCCTGTAGCGTTCGTAGTAACTATTTTTGTCGTCTAAAATTTCAGTTTTACTACAAATTAGTCGAGCGGAGTAGAAAAAACTTTCGGAATTAATCTGAAGTCAAAATTATCTGTTTAGATTTTCTTAAAAGTCTACCGAATTATTTGAACAAGGTTTGAAATTAATCTATTGAATTAATATTATTAATACAGATATTATAAAATTATTGAAATGTTTCTCTGATGGTCAACCCTATGTAGTTATGTTTAGAGTAGGAAATTCTAGTGGACTTGGTTTAATGGCAGAAGAAACTGTAAATGTTTTGCTGAAAATGTTTTTACAAAAAATTTATAGAATTAAAAAGAGAACTTTTATTACAACTTATTTTCTCTGCCTGCAGTCTAAGAAGTTTTGATTAAGAAACTGGTTTACTTTATTTATTTGTTTCTAGGGACATGATGGTGACGATGGATCAACAGGACCTCCCGGACCTCCTGGACCTACTGTAAGTTTAAGATCCTTCTTTAATATGATTCCTATTAAATCACACTGAATTTTCATGAATTTAAGTAAAAAAAAAAAAAAGTCTTAAAACGGTAACTATAAGAAAAATGTTTCAATCTTATTTTTCTAGGGCCCTGACGGATCTCGTGGACCACCTGGTAAGGACGGAAACGCAGGTCTTCCTGGAGTTGCTGGACTTCCCGTGAGTAATACTTAAGTATTGCTGTTTATAATGGTTGTTTATTTATTAGTGTCGACTCGTTGAAATTTCTTAGTAATTATATTAGAATTCTGCTTGTTACTTCGCTTCCTTAGCGTAAACGTTACGTTCTGTCAATTCCTCATAAATAACGGAATATTCCGTTTTGATCGCGAGGAAAATCGGAAAAAAAACATACCGGAGACACTGTTTGATTTCAGTGAGGAAAAAGAAAGAAAGAAAGAAAGAAGAAAGTAGGGGCGATAACATTCTCACGTGTTTAACGTATGCTTCAAATAGAAAAAAAAGGTTAATTTTACATCTTTTCACATGTACACATTAACTTGATTCTATAATAACCCAAGTTAATTAGTTATTGCAATATTTGGTTAAAGTTGTTAAGCTCAAATATTTAACGAATAAATTTCAAAAATTCCACGTTATTTTATAAACATAGAATTTGCAAGGAGCTTATTCAATCCTTAACTATTATTATTATTAATTATGATTCATCAGAAATTCAAATAGGAAAACCGAAAGATTTTCATTGGTATTGATGGTTATTATAGATGTATTAAATAATTGGTAGTGTAGAGTGAGTGGCTATGACACCGACAAATGGCCTATAAATAAATCGCAGAACGGCCCACTCAGAATTGACTAATTTTGCAATAAACAATTACAAGAAAAAGAAAAAAAATAACAGAGTAAAAATAATATAAATCTAGAAAAAAATATATGCAAGGCAAATTGACAGTAATAAGGCAAAGCAACAATAATAAGGCAAAAATTTCACAAACTAAGAACTGAGATTGATATACAAGAGCGAATTCGGATAAACGAACGTAGCTTTCTGACTTTAAGATGAAACAGATCGGGGCTGTGTCAGATGACACCGACAAATGGCCTATCTTATTGGACAGGAAGAAATCCCAGCATGCATTTATGTGCTTCTGTCTATAAATTGGGGAAGGGGAAAGTATTTTGCAGTGATTCGGTATTGGGATTGGAACCAGCAGGTGGAGAAACTTTGACGATCTTACAACCTAAAGTAAAGATTTAATATAAAAAAGAAGAAAAAATCAGAATATCATAAAAAGCAGTTCTCGAACACATCAATGCAATCAGCATTTTTTTACCGAGTTGTAATGATTATTATCAAATTGCAATGATGGTTTACAACCACCTAAATAAAAAACAAAGCTCTATATATTAAAATATGTCATTAGTATTCATAGTTGGGATTAAGCGTGATCTTGAACAAAAAATCAACATCCTCTACCAAGTCTTTCAAAAAATAGAACGCAAGATAAACCTTTCCAAAATAGAAAATTTGATTTTGAATTGGAATGAGAGGAGTGATGGTACCTACTCTGAACCTATCATAAGAAAAATTAGACCGTTGAATTAGCCCATAAAAATACTTTAAATATCTTCGTGTATTAAAATTTTAGTATAGGAGATAAGAAAATTAAACATAGACTAGGCTCGCTAGGGATAGTTTTCCCTAGCGTTGAAAGTTGCTACAAATCCAAAACATTAGCCTAAAAAACTTGAGTTATATAATTAAATAACCTCGTCAGATCGTGCCTTTCATATGGATGTCATACATGGTACCAAAACCGTTCATATATAGCTAAACTATTAGCTGGATATATAGATGACACGTTTACATAAAACAAGTGGAAAAAGCTATTGGTGGCACCAGGGGTGGCAGTATCAACTTAGACACCGAAACTGTATTACCACCCCCCCTAGTTGGCGGCTGACGAGGGCAGAGTATCTCACGTGCTTTCACATGTTGTATATAGAAAACTGAAATAAACTGTTAAAAGTTATACAACCGTTTTCTCAGACCAACGATTAAAATGACTTCGAGTCTGTGGTTTCTTATTGCAAGCAACTCTTCTTCGAACCTCATGAACTGGCGCTACAGAATCACAAACAAATGTACCAAATAACAGAAACCACATCAATTGAAGAGCAACTGAAATGAATATCACATGTAACTCGAAAAAATATAATGATATAATCAAGATGTTGACGTTTAACACGACACCGAATAAAAGATTAGAAAGGAAGATCCCATCAATTTTGGAAAGATATATAACAGTTAGTGGACTAAAAAAATTTTTTTTCTGAAAAATTGTTTCAACTGACTGAAACACTGGCTGCTCAGTGAATGAATGCTGAATATTCCCACATAAGAAAACGGCTGGTTTTTACCAAGACCATTAGATCTTTCAAGAAACCAATATGCGAAGTATCGCAAGACAAAGCAAGGGTCAAGAATTAATTATACCTTATTTCTATTTAAATATTGAGTAATGCCCGAAATATTTAAGTGCCCTATTTACTACTACACATATATTTTATTCTAAAATCGAATGGACTTTGAAATTGCGTTTACTAGAATTTATGAGACACTATTCTTTGCATTGCAGGGATCTCGTGGACCAGCAGGAGAAGATGGACGCCAGGTGAGTAAAATGTCTACAAAGGGAAATAAATCTTCGTTTCAAGCAAAACACTGGACAAAACAAAATGAAATAAAATAGAACATTATTCACTTGCTACTTAAATAATATCCAAGATAACATCCAGTGTTTGGGGTTGGTAAGCCTTGTTATTGGAAATTTATTCTATTGATGAACTTACTATTAATACAGATTTTAATTTTTCAGTATAGATCCCAATTATGTTCAGATATTCTGGTCGAAAAATGTTGAAGTTTAAGTTGCCAACCCCCAATTAATTAATTAAGTATTAAATAATAATCCATGTTAACAATAAACATTTCATTAACATGATTTCCTATGATTGTGAGACATTAATAAACAATTTCATTGAAGAATTTTATTTAACAAGTTAAGTTAAAAATCTTGTTAAGTAAGATTTAGATTATTTAGAAATTGTGCAAGTTCAGAAAAGACAAGACAAGATAAGATGTGATGTGCATTGTGGTGTAATGCTCGGAATGAGAAATCGGAGAGCCGAGTTCGAATTCCAGTTTGGTGTTCACTTACGCGCAAATAATCATCTCCCCTCCGTTATGGACTGAATAGCTGGTGGGAGGAGGTTACTGTGTCCTATAGACTTGGTTGGTAACCAGTCAAGTACAGAAGGCAACAGAGACCTACTTAGTCCTCCATATATCGAAAGAGACATGATCGCCCAAGCGATTATCGCGTATGGCACTTAATTGACTGAGTGAAGTTAATAAATGGTGAAGGTCTCTCGCGTACGCACCGTTGACGTTCGTTATTATTAGTTATTGTAAAATAAAGGGTAATAGACATTTTTTTCGACAGGGAGCCCAGTAAAAAGCGGCAATTGTATTCTTCGAGAAAATACACCAGCTCTAATTAGTCCACCTCAGTGGTCCCCTAAAAAACCCAGATCTGAATGTTATGGATTACTGTATCTGCAATACCGTAGTCGTGATATCGTCTATATTGAGTCATTGAAGTGGAACATAGCTGAAGCTTGGAATAAAATCCCTCTTGACACTATCCGCAGAACTACTCCCTCCTGGTTACTACGCTTATAACTTTGTGTCGAACATTCAACCAAACATTTTGAACATCTACGATGAGTGTTCAGACCGTGCATGAATCATGATAGCTAAATAAATATCTTTCTGAATTTACCACATTTTCACTGGGCACCTTGTAAATTAAGCTTCGTCTTCCTAATATTCACTTCATTATGAGGTAGAATTTTGAACGTTTCCATGAACATAATTCCGAAAGATATCGCTAATATAAAAGATTATTTAAAAAAAAAAAACTTTTTCTTTTCTTTTAACAGGGAATTGATGGAAATTCAGGACCTCCAGGACCACCCGTAAGTACACATACCTTTTTTTTAAAAAAAAAAAATGGCTGTGTTGATTTGAAGTTTTGAAAATTAAGTTTATTTCTCTCAAACTTCTGTTAGAGAACTATTTCCTTAAATATTTTCGTTTTCTCATGTTTGCGATAATTTAGATTTCTACAAGTTAGATTTCTTTTTAGTAATTTAGTTTTTAGTAAGATAATTTAGTTTTCTTTTTAGTAAGATAATTCTTTTTAGTAAGATAATTTAGTTTTCTACAAGTTATATCTTTTGACGTTTCTGGTACACGTGCATTATAAAATAATTTTCACCTTATTCACCAGAAATCGGTGGCATTGATTATCACTTATTTGACACATTTCGAGCTTTCCATACGTAACCGACGATTCTCTTGTAGCAAAGAAGTAGTCAAAACATTTGAGAAATTCAAGATAAATAAACGACAAATTCTAAATGTCCTTTCGTGTGTCTGAAGCTCCTCTAACTCGAGCCACACTTGCCCTACATAGACATATACCCTTTTGGAGTCAGAGTGATTCCTGGATTGAAAATCTGCCTTTCATCTGGTGCTTGAACATCCAGTATTGGGATTTGTGTCCGGATGAGGATGATACAGTTAAAATTTCAAATTTGAGAATAGCTGAAAAAAAAAAATTATTGATTTTAAAAGATTTTAATTTATATTGAATTTAAAGTAACATAAAAACTTTGTGAATCAAAAAAATAAATTGTTTTAAAATCAGTTAAAAATATCTCCAAATCTTTGTGAGTTGAGGAAATCAATTTATTTCTTCAAAATTCCAAGAAATCAGGGTTAAAATGAAAGGTTTCGTGACGTGAAGTTCTGCAGAGATTGTGATTTGAAGAACTCAACTCAATCGAAGATCCACGGGGTTTGTGATTTGAAGAACTTAGTTTTCGGTCTGATTTGGAATTTCTGGTCAAATTCACTGTTTGCCCACATCTGGGTCCCTAGTGGACTTCATATAATCACAAAAAGAAACATTAGATAATAGATATCTATATGAAAATGTTGTTTATACAGAAATTTTAGAGTGTTTCTATTAACATAATTTCGTTTTATGGTTAGTTTTTAAAGAGAGTTTCTAGTATTACTTGATTTTCTATGTCCGTAGGACAGGGAGTCGGTTAGTTAAGGAAATTCGCTAAACAACATTGTTTCTTGTCGATTAAATTTGTTCTTTATTAATTTTTATTTATCCTTTGTTATTCATTAGGGACCCCCAGGAGTTGCTGCTTCATACAGCCGGTCTCATATCAGCTCATGGTTCCAGCAACCTAAAGGATTGGACATGATGGTAAGTACATATACGTATTTTTTTTAGAGATATCACAATGATTTCAGCTCTTGCGTTGATAAGTATATTATTACAGTAATTTCGTTTTTATTATGCATGCGATAATTTAGATTTGATGATTCGAGTTTGCTAAAAGTTATTATTATTTTTTTTTTACATATCTGGTACACATGTATTATAAATTAACTTGCACTTTATTCACCAGATATTTATCGCAAGGAGTATCATTTATTTAAACACTTCGAGATTTCCATGCGCACCCAACGATACTCTTACAGCAAAAAAGTAGTCAAAATATCTGAACACTTTAGTAATATTTCAGGAGAATGTGGAACATATCTCATGTAAAAGACGAAACAATAAATAAATAAATAGACCAGACAAGTTCAAAACGGTTCAATTCTGTTCCACGACAATGTAAGCGTTCACACTTCGTCGTTCACCGTTCAAAAGTCGTACAACCTTGCTTATTCAGTATGTACCTCATCCACAAGACATTTGTCCCATGGATTACACTTATTTAAACACTTTTAGCTTCCCATACGCAATCAAAGATTGTTTTATAGCAAAAAAAGTAGTGAAGGTATTTAAAGAGGTATATTAGGGTATCAGACGAAGTGTTTTTTTAATGGGATAAACAGCTTAGAGTTACATTGGAAGAAAACCATAAAACAAAACGGACATTATTATTATTAAATAAAACTGTCTTTTGGTTAAATGAAAGTTCTTTTGTCATTCATCAAGATACGACATCTGAGACAACTTATTTTCAGCCATAAATATATGATCAATTGAATGCATTAGTTAAAAAAATATCCGACGTCAATAGTTAATATTCTAACGAAGTTAACTGTATGCATGAAAAATTAATAAAAACCTAGAGGAATGACAAGGGAGGACCGTATTCTGCTTCATGATAATACACATCCTTACGTTCAAAGTTGAACAACATTGCTTATTTTAGAGTAGCCAACTTATTCATTAGTCATCTCTCACACGGATTATCACTTATTTAAACCCTTTCAGCTTTCCATACACAATCGAAGATTTTCTTATGCTGATTAAGTAGTCGAAGCATTTGAACAGTTTATTTTTATTATTTGGGATAAACTATTTATATTTACGATGCATGAAGATCGTAGAACAAAACAGATGTTATTTCGATTAAATAAAACTGCCTATTGATTAAATAAAAGTGGTTTTGTCATTCATCAAAATACAACATTTCGTATGGGACAACCAAAACAAAATATGTCTGAAAATTCGTTTTATATAATTTTATATAATTTTATATTTAATATTCAATCCGACTTAAATCTCGTTTTTTTTTCTCGTTACAGGGAGACCAAACCGACAAAAGGGTAAGTATTCAGAATTTTGTAATTGAAAATGATAAATTCAAAACTACGTTCAGAAATTTAACTTTTAACTTCTGTTGAATTTCTGAAAACTAAACTTGGTTATTTTAAAATAGTTTAGTTTATTTTTTTAAAATTTATTTGTTTATTTAAGCATGTTCACGCGAAGCAAGGTGGCAAAGCCACTGAGACACAGTGGATTACTGGGTGGGGAAGAATTAGCAAACAGAAACATTACTAATGAGCAGGAACAAAGGAAGAGTAATCAGAGGGACAGCTGATAACGATTGACATTGCATTTAAATTTTTGAAGATTAAAATTGGCTGGAAGTCATGGAGCCGAAAGAGAGTTCCAGAAGCGAGAAGTGCGAGAAAAGAACTTATTACCATATAACTTACGGTTACATCTAACCAACTCAATTGTCTGGTGCTGCGCTTCAATTCATAAAGTCTAGGTATCATATCGAATACCTCGTCCGATCAATTACCATGCTGGCATTTATAGAAAAGGCACAGGGAGGCAACTTTATGGCGATGGGGAAGTGACTGAAGCTGAGATGCCAGATCATGACCAATACTATTGCTGATTCTTTGGATTTTATAAAGGATCTCTAGATATAAAGCAGGAGCTCCAGACCATATGTGGCAGCTATATTCTAAGCAAGGACGAAGAGTAAATATATATATATATATATATATGCGAGATAGCATCTCATATATCTATATACTATTAGTGACATATTTTCTATCGAATGTTCCCAGTTTGGCTTAGAAATGAATAAAAGCAGGCTTACACAAAAATTTGAACATTATACATTTTTAGTGGACACACACGGGAAGGACGAAATTGTTAAATAAATTTCGCATACAAACAAAATGGCTATTTCTTTTTTTTCGCCCCGTCAAGGCAGGAGTGCCACTAACACGCAAGGGGTTACAGAGGACTGAGAACAAGAATAAAGAGGAATGTTTGAGGAAAGGATACATAGAAGCTTAGGGTGTCAGACGTCGATTGACATTACACTTGAATATTTGAAAATTATAGTCATCGGAGAAGCAAGTAAGAGGAAGGGAGTTCCACAGACGGGAAGTGTGGGAGAAGAAGCTGTTTGAGTAGCAGAGATGGTTACATTTAACCGTTTTGACAGTGAAAGGGTGGGACCGAGATGCCAGCCTGGTAGCTCGCTTAAATTCATGCAGTCCGAGAACCAGCGAAAGTAGCTCGTCGGAGCAGTTACCGTGAAAATACTTGTAGAAGAGACAGAGGGAAGTCACAGAACGTCTGTGGGATAGCGATTGTAGACTAGATGCCAGATCAGAACCAGATCAGAACAATATTTCATATTCGTTTCCGGATTTTGTTCTTCTATGGAACGTGAAATACAGCACAATGAGAAGTGTGACTTTGGAGTCGGGGTATGCAATCTATAATGGCTGCTAAGAAATAAATCTGAGAAAATAATAAAATCAATAAATACTGACATTTTTGTATATTATAGCCCTAAACTTTTAAATACGTTAAAAATAAATAAGTATAAGCAATTACATCATTAGCAAATTGAAAAATAAAGCTTTTAAAGCATTTTGATTTTTACCCTTATTGCATATAGGGTAAAATTGAATTTTCAGTTTAGAGATGACCATTTTCAAAGATTAAAACCAATTAATACATTTTGCATTACTTTTGAACACATATATATATATATATATATATATATATATATATATATATATATATATATATGGTGATTGATTGAAAAGTAACTCTCGGTATTTTATGTATGATGGACTCTCCTGTCTAACTATAATTTTTACAAGACGAGAGAATCCATTATATATAAAATAGGGAGTCACTTTTTAATCATCATATTTATATAAGTGAACAATGAAGTCAACACCCAGAGGCGACAGTCTGTTTCACTCTTAGTGGTCTCTTGTATTCTGGTGGCTTTTATTGCCTTCCTTGGGGTGAAATGATAAAAACAAACAAACAAACAAACAAACAAACTGTATATTCAATAGATTTTATACCTGAAATTACCCCAAGGTGATCTCTTAAATATGACATTTTCTTTTACTTTTTTTTTTTCAGACTATAACTGCAATGGAGGCTTTGAAGGAAGTTATCAAGCACTTCAATGACTTAAGAGATCCTGTCGGTACCAAGAACGCCCCTGCCCGTTCCTGTCGCGATCTTGCCAGCGCTCATCCCGAATTCAAGGATGGTAAGTGATAAGTCATCATGACGTTTGGCGCGCGCGCACACACACAAACACACACACACACACACACACACACACACACACACACACACACACACACACACACACACACACACACACACACACAGAGAGCGAGGCTGGATATTATTTTTACCAACGTCTTTATACTTTGTCCACTGTAACGTATCAGTGATTGGAATGTTTTGCGAGATATGATAAAAAAGAATGAAAGGGAATGTTGGTTCATGCCTTTCCAAAAATGCTAGAGGATAAAGTGAATTCAGACTTGGATTCACTGAACTCATTTTCTGTACCGATATCAGGATACTACATTGCACCTTAGAAATATTTCCTAATCTCGGTTTAGTCTGGTACAAGGTTACAAGTTTGAACACTCAGTGAGGATCAAACTCACAATAATAATTCTCAATAAAACCACAAGTTACCTCCATTCTAATTTCAAAAGGAAACCAATCTATTGTAAAAAAAACAAAAACAAAAAAAAACAAACAAACAAACAAAAGCAAAAATCAACAAAATAATGCTAACTGTAGCTCTGTGTAATGAGTCTCTTCCACTGTCTTAAAAGATTTTTTAATTCAGTGTTTTGACTATTCCCGTTTTCTCCAATGTTTTTTCATTTTTTTTTTACCTCCCGTTTGTTAATTTTGGCTGGCGGTTTAAAGAAAAATATTTAAATAAATTTATCGTCTGATTGGTTAAAAGTATTTAATGTTTGATTGGTTAAAAGTATTTATTTAACGTCTGATTCGTTAGAAGGATTTATTTAGCGTCTCATTGGTCAGAAAAGATAAATGACAACTTTCAAATTCTTCTTAACTTTGATGCTACATTTAAACAGAATTTATGTTGGAAATAAATGTAACGTTGTCTACTATAAATCCGCCACTATCCGCAGCTGGTACTATGCAAACTAGTTCAATCTGTCGCATGTTCTTTAGGAGAAAAGATGGGTGGCGCCCCACTGTCCGGAGATATACTCCTACGATCTACGGGGTCAAATGATAACCATTTTTTAACTGCTGATATTAGAGATTACAGAAACAGATCGTAGTAAATAATGCCCTCCTTTGCATGAATTTGAATAAAAGAAATTGAGCGAAACATCGTATTTGAATGTAAACTTACGAACCATCTTGTATTTTAAAACAGGCTACTATTACATCGATCCTAACAAGGGCAATGTCAAAGACAGCATTCTGGTTTTCTGCAAGATGGAAAGTGGTGAAACCTGCATTACTCCATCACCATCCACGGTAACTGAAATTCTTCTTGTTTGTTCTCTTCCATAAATAATTTCTGTTTTGGGGAACCAATAGTAATGACGAATATAGCATCCTAAATATTAATCATAGTTAAGAACAAATTTGGGCTACACTTACAAACCTAAGTTTCGCACGGCAGTTGTAGCGCAGACAGTGGATTAAAGAATAAATATTGTTCTATGACAACGCAAGGATGCAGACAGCAAAAATAACACAGGAAAAATATTTGGGAACTTTGCCGATTCGTCCTAACCAAGCCCACCCCACATTTACCTAACGTTGTACCAAGCAATTATTACCATTTTTCGATCGCTGCAAACGCTTTGATAGGGAACATTTTCTCTAATGAAAACCAGATTCAAGTGTTTCTAGAAAAAACTTGTTCGTATCAAAACTTGCGCTCTTTTACTCTAAAAAGCTAGCTAGATATAGACTGTGAGAACATGGTTACTGTGATCTATCTATCTATCTATCTATCTATCTATCTATCTATCTATCTATCTTGTTTTTGTTTCTTTCTTACTTTTTTCTCTACACTGCCTCATTACTGTATTCTTTCTCATTCTCATTACATAGGTTAACTCTTTCTTTCTTTTTTTTCTCATCGTACCTATCTATCTATCTATCTATCTATATATCTATGATAAACTATAGTTTTAAGGTGTTATATATATATATGGATAAAAGTGCTCAATATCAGGGATAGAGCGTATGTAAATAAAAGCAGAAATTGAGATCAACACCGAGCTGCGGCAGTTATGCTTGGACGCAATCTTCAGGACATGTCTCTCTCTCCCCCCTGTCATTTTCTCTCTCTCTCTCTCAGTATATATATATATATATATATATATATATATTGATAATCTACTATATCTAAATATTCATACTGTAGTATTCATATAAAATACAAATTTTATTCTAACCTAATATGTACAATAATGGCCCACATGCAATATCAATGAATAATTCAATTATAATTACTGAAAATAAACAGGGATTTTCATATACTGTTTTTTCGTGACTTAGCATGAGCGAAACAAATTCACGGACTTGGACAAAAAAGGTCCCGATAATGACGTTAAAATCTGTGAAAATGATTCATCCTCTAATAGTTGTGCTTAGTTTAATTTGTAACGTATATAAATGTAGGCATAAAAAAGCAAATGTTGATAAGATAACGAGGGTCACAAAGCACTGCACAGGCCTGCACCATCATCGGTCAGGGGTTAGGTGGTAGTACGCACCGTCCATAATTATATGTAACGCTTATTTATTTTTCTGTTTTTCTTATAGTATCACAAGAAGTATCTGACTTCAGCAAAGAAAGCCGGAGAGTCCTATGTGTGGTTGTCTCATCAACTCACCAGATACAACGAGGTAAGTTTCCCGTTCCAAATAAGATACGATTGGTCAACTCATTCCTGAGTTTATATTTACCGATAATCTTTTCAAACTGTATTGTAAGGGTCGCTTATATATTTATCCATTTAAATGAACATGAAATTAACAATGATTCTTGCCTATGGTTTACTCACGACTGCGCCAATTATTATTATTACTATTGTGATACATACATAAGTATATATATATATATATATATATATATATATATATATATATATATATATATATATATATTATATTATATTATATATATATATATATATTAAGACATTTTATGTTTATACATTCTTTTTATAGATACAAATATTTAAGCAAATACTCTGTTTATAATAAACAGTATTAAACAACATTTACCGGCCTGAATGTCCGAGAAATTTTCACAGAATATATTCGTCCTCCGACAGGATTCAAACCTGTATCCTATACGGAACTGTCATTTAGCTTGACGTGCCTTTACCGATTTGGCCACAGAGGCGCGTTCTGTTAGCCAGGTCGAATTTACTGTATTTGAACTTCAATCTTCTATGAATCTCTCACGTACATTCATATCTGCTCATGGCGTATCGTAAAAAAACACAACACACACACACACACACACACACACACACACACACACACACACACACACACATATATATATATATATATATATAATGGGATAACGATATATAATTTTTTATATATCAAGAATTGTTTTGGAGGAAATATCTATGATAATGTGGAAAAAGTTTAGGACTTCATGGTGCTTAGTTTGCTCATGTTGTTGCGACTACACAATCACATGAATAAGAAACGCTGGGAATTTAAAATTAAAAAAAAATTGAATATATATATATGTATATATATATATATTGTTATAATGCTCGTATAGCCTCGTAGTTTCTGGTTAATAATATTGTGAGAAAAACACTGGAACAAAAGATCAGTAAAGAAAAAGGTTTGATCAGATGAAGGAGATTGATTAAGAATACAATAATAGCGAATACCGTAATTCAGTGCGGCAATACGCACAACTCAACGCCACGCCTTGCGACCCAATTTGTGACACGGTTGCTATGAGCAGATATTCTACTCATAGCGAATGGACGAGTCAGTTTTCAACAGTTAGTGTAAAGAAGGTCAGTTGCTTTTTTTTACACGATGATATATATATATATATATATATATATATATATATATATATATATGGGTGTGTGTGTGTTTTAAATAGGTTATAGAATCCCGAAAAAATTCTGAAGAAATTTCACAAATGGAAAAACGTTTCATTGAAACTAGATTTGAATACGCGTTTCGCCTTTCTCAGCTTCATCAAACTCAAAATGAAGCAAAAAATATGTGTGTGCGCGTGTGTGTGTGTGTGTATGCTTGAATAATAAATCATTAGTACTAAGCTTAGAAAAAAAAGTAGGAATGAATCATTATTTATTATTATTATCTGCAAACTATCGGCCCATACCCACCATTTTATCATCGATTTTATTGTTGCGTATTTCTCGACTTATACACGAGTATATACTGTAATTCTTTTTTTTCTTCTTCATTTTGTCTCTTACAGTTCCCCTACAAGAGTGATGGTTATCAGATCAAGGCTCTTCAAAGTGTCAGCAGCTACGCTAGTCAGAACGTTACTTTCCACTGTTTGAACACCATTGCCTACCATGACCAGATGATTAACAGCAAGTACAAGGCTGTCAAACTTATGTCATACAATGAGGAGAATTTGACTGCCGAAGGCAAACCGAAATTCCGTTATGCTGTAAACCATGACGGATGCAAGGTAAGCGAATTCTTATCTTACTGGGCTGACTTTTCAAGATTAACTATAGTGGGTAACAGCTAAAATGGCCGGGCAGGTAGCTACTGATGTGCAGGCGGTGTAACAGTCCGCGGCTCGAAACGAGAACTAAACTAGCAGAGTTCGAATTCCAGTCGAGTTCGTTACATCCATTTTGGTGCAAATATAAATCCATCATTTCTTTCCATCCCAGCTATGGGTTAAATAACAGACTGAACTATTTAGCCGTGGTTGACAATCAGTCTAGGAGACGGACATCTCTGAATTCAGAAGCATATATAAATCTAAATTTCCTATTTCATAAAAATATAAATTCATCTCTTTTCTCCCCTTGGCTAAAGTTTGAATAACAAGGTAGACTGGGCTCTGTGGTCTTTGATGGCAAATGGCCCGTGAGAAAGAAAACTCTGAATTTCAAATCGTGAATAAAGCAACGAAAAGCCCAATGGCAACGACCCACTAATGCGCTCGGGTTCCCACATTAATCCGACCTTGTGTCACATCTCATTCTCGTGGGGGAATGGGTAAATACCCACTAATCCTCTTACTGACATAAGGCTTAATCACCTGATTCTTCCGGTTTAATTTCTACCGACTACTATGCATTCTTTCTGGGATCATTTTTCTTGTCAACTTGCATCATTTCTTTGGAGTTAGATCCAATAGCTCGCCTTCTAAGTTGCTACTTGGGTATCCGCTACAAGTGCGCATACTTTTCTCTGTCTGATTCCAATGAATGCCAGCTGTCTCCGTATAAGCGCACATTTGAATCATCTACAGCCAACTTCAACAGGTAAATGTTTAGCCTTCCACCCTATTTCCTAAGTATCTCCTCAACAAACCTCAATAGTGAAATGCTTATCCTGCTACCCCATATCCGACGTATCCCCTCAACCAACCTCAATGGGGAAATGCTTATCTTGCCACCCCATGTCCAACGTATCCTCTCAACAGGGAAAATTTTCCCCTGTCGCCCCATGTCCTACTTATCCCCTCAACCAACCTCAACAGGGAAATTTTTCGCTTGCCACCCCATGTCCTACGTATCCCCTCAACCAACCTTAATAGCGAAATGCTTATCTTGCCACCCCATGTCCAACGTATCCCCCAAATCAACTTCAACAGGGAAATGTTTCGCTTGCCACCCCATGTCCTACGTATCCCCTCAACCAACCTCAATAAAGGAAATGCTTATCTTGCCACATCATGTCCAACGTATCCCCTCAACAGGGAAATTTTTCGCCTGCCGCCCCATGTCCTACGTATCCCCTCAACCAACCTCAACAGGGAAATTTTCCGCCTCCTAAACCATGTCCTACGTGTCCACTCAACCAACCTCAATAGTGAAATGCTTATACTGACACCCCATATCCTATGTATCCCCCAATCAACTTCAACAGGGAAATGTTTCGCCTACCATCCCATGTCCTAAGTAGCCTCTAAACCAACCTCAATAGAGAAATGTTTAGTCTGCCACCCCATGTCCAAATATTCCCTCAACCAACCTCAATATGGAAATGTTTAGCTTGTAACCCCTCAACCAAACTCAACAGCCTGCCACCACACGTCTTCACATTTCTCCACCACATTTTCGTACAGCTCTTATTTTAAAATTTAATAATGTAGGGATGGTCTTTATTATTATTTTAGGCTTTGACGTATTTTTTTTTGTAATTTACAGAAATAAATATTGTTATTCATACCAGAGTTAATAACCTTCGCTTTTAGTTTCTCAAGTGCTAGGCAAATGCAAATATTTAAGTAAAAATTGTATGGAAACATTTGTTAACCATTTGTTAAACTTATTTTACATTTCCTTTTCTTTCTTTTACCCTTTTTTTTTCACAGACCAAATCCGACAAGTGGGATAAAACTGTGATAGAGATGAGTACCGTAAACAGCAAACTGCTCCCAATCCTTGACCTTGGTGTGTATGACATTGTTCAAGGTAAACAAGACTTCCATATAGAATTGGGAGACGTGTGCTTCAGATAAATCACCACAGCAAACCATTTTTTGTCTACCACAATTCTTCATGTGTCCACAGCTGTTCTCCCTCCGACGGTGGATATTCTCATTCAATAGTCGAACTGCGATCGCTCGAACTCGTTACAAAGGAAAAAAAGTCAACCAATCAGGGTCAATCAATTCTCGTCGTTATCATTCTCATGGTCATTTCATTTCTGTTAACTTTCGTGCGCTCAGGCACTGCTAGATCTTTGGGATCATGGGACAGAGAGAAACTTATTAAAATCTTGGACACAGACCCAATTGTCTGAAAAAAAAATGAATAAAGAAGTAAAAAAAATAACAAAAACGAAGAAATAGTCCTCGCCGTTATTACGGTGAGTTCAGGTTTCGCAACGGTGCTATTGTATATAATAATGGTTCGCTTAGTTGTTCTCCTCTAATCATTTTTTTTTACTAAGACATTTTCACGACAGAAAAAAACTACACCTATTTTCATGTCGGACATTAGCTGAACGAATAAATGTGGTAAAAAAAATTTCGAAAAATGTTCATTTTTCTTTGTCATTGATGAAATTTAAATAAAAAAAAAACAAAACCCACCAATAAATATAAGTAGAATAATGAAAAAAAATTCTAATAATTTCAAACTGAGACTGATAAGAAAATAGGTTATAAGAATTATTGGTCAGTTATTTTATTTTTATATTTTTTTAAAAACTGGCTTTGGTTCTTTGTGGCAAGTTGAGGTTTTCTGGTTTTGGTTACCATCAAGAAATAAAAAGAAAAACCATCTGCCCGTCATTATTTCATCTTAATAATCAAAGGAGAGGAAAAAAACTTGAAATAAACGACAACTGAAATCAAAATAAATAAAAATAGCTGTTGAAGCGACGTTTACAATAATAAACCGTTGGATTGATCCTTGTTTTGTCTGCATATGAGTCCTGTTGACTTTTTTTTTTCCATTCTATTTTTAGTCCTGGCGATTCAGGCCCTTTGGCGGCAATCATTTTCCCTATTATTAGCGCAGAAAATATGCATTATATATTTATTTCAGATATAACGCAAAAGATTTCATTTTCTTTGACCGTCTCTCTTTCTATCTTTATTAAATCTTTTTAATACTCTTTCTTTCTTTTTTTTTTTCTAGATTTTTCTAGTTTCTTTACTTACCTTTTTTCTTCCTTTATTTTTAGCTTTCCTTCTTTATTTCTAGCGTTCTTTCTTTTTTCTTTCTAGCTTTTTCTAGCTATCTTTTTTTCCTTTGTTCTTTCTTTCTTTCTTTCTTTCTTTCTTGTGCGGGTGCGTGGCCGAATGGTTACAGAGTGAGTTTGTGGTTCGACCATAAATCTCGGAGCCGAATCTCACCATAGTCGATTTGTCAAGGAAGTGAACTTGATAAAATCGACTCGAGGTGACGATCCCAGCGTGCGCAACCACCTGAAACCCCAAAGATTGTGGATGAACCTGGGTAGCAGTCGATGGCCGTGCTAATACGAAGTCATTTTCATCGAGGGTTTGAGGATACTGGTCTTGTTCAAACACTGATCTCGCCAGATTCCGCGCTCTCTCCCAGAAACTGTAACTGACGTCTGCCCAGCCATTTCAACGCCATATCCAATTCCTCTTTTTATTATTTGTGAATTGCCATGCTCTCTTTCTGGAAAGATAATGGTTTGGTTTACCGTTGCTTTCTCCACGGTTTTGAATTCAGAATAGTTCCTCACCTAAACTGGACAAAAAAACCCCAGTCTACACTGATATTTAATCACGTAGTTGGGGTGACGAAGAAGAGATGGTTACACTTCCCACTCACCATAGTTAAGGATAAACAATAGGTTGGTTATGCGTGTATTGAAAGAACACAGATATGCCTGAGCAAGTGACTTTTACGCTCGCCACCCTAGCAGGCAAGTGGAATTTGAAACAAATATACAACCATTATATGTGCATATCCCTGTTAACTTTGGCAATGCAGTTTTTATGTCTTATTCTCTGCTTTTATCTATCTATCTATCTATCTATCTATCTATCTATCTATCTGTGATAGTTGCAGAAAAGTTCACTCGTACGATCACCGAAGTTAAGCAACGTCGAGCCTGGTCAGTCGCCCATCTAGGGTAAGAGTTTGGGAACACCAGGTGCTGTAAGTTTGGATGTGCGGGTGTGAATGGTTCGAAATTGTTGATAGGAGAGCCGAGTTCTCATTCCCATTGGGTTCATTATATGCATTTGCGCACGGATACCCTTGGGAAAGAAGGTATGAATCCACCTCTTCTTTCCCTCCCAGCTATGGGTTAATTAGTAAGACATGCATCACTAAACTATTATTATCAGAAAAAGAAAAATTCTAAAATATATTTTCTGGCTTTAAATAACCTGCAAAGAGTTGATAAGCCGTAGAAAACGAATCAATCAATGAAGAGTTCACGACTCACTTTCTGAAATCTGACAAGATAACTAAATATCAGATTTTTTTTATCGCTACGTGGTAGGATGTGCGAGTGGTGTAATTGATAGCGGCTCGGAAGTTTGAATTCCAGTCGGCTTCGTTACATTCACTTACGCGCAAATACCCCCAACTATGGGATAAATAGTGGGGCTTGTATCAGGAAAAATCATTTTATTTCTCAAAAAATTGTTCATATTCACTCACAAAAACTAAAGAATTATACTTACAATTCAAAATATGTATTGCTTTAAACAACATCCAAATGGTTGATAAGCCGTAAAAAATAAACAAATCGTAAATAAATAAATAATTAAATAAATAAATAAATAAAAAACTTCGTGATCGGCCCCAAAATTTTTTAACATTTCCTCAGATCTATCTCTGTTCTATTCTGTTCTATTCTGTTCTATTTATCTATCTACTTGTGACTATTTAGAATAATCTCTGGATATTTAGAGGGACGAATTAATTTTGAAAGTAGACTAAAGGTTAAAAGCAACGAAAAAGTTAATGATCAAAGTCTTGGGTGTCTGTTTCGCCTGAGCTGCAAGAGTTATCACCTTGCGTGTGATAATACTGGTTATCATATACGAAATACTTTCAGTTAAAATCATATAAAACGTTTTGTCGAAGTAGATTACATCACTCCGTTAATATTACCTTATTTGTGACTAGAGTTTTTTTCTCATGACAAATGCCTAAAAAATTAAAAGAAATAAAATTAAATCAATACATCAGTTGAGATTTGGTAGGGTTTTCCACGTCGGTAAGAGGCATGTTTTCCAATAGCGAGTCGTCGACGAAATCTCCAACCTCTTATTTGTCTTGGGTTAGGTTCTGCAAGGGAGATTGTTTGACAGATTCCTGCCACCGGGTCGCCTTATCAACTGGTTGTTTCCCACGGATAGGAGATGAATCTATGAGTGACATTTTCAAGGGGTTCTTCTATTTCTTCAATGGGTGTTATAGAGTGAACGAAAAATTTTTCTTCCTCCGTATGAGAAACGAATCCCTCGTCGCCAATGTGTTGTAGAGTAGTTTTCACAGTGGAGTCTTGTATCTCACTGAGTCGGTCCTAAAAAAGGTTCGACGTACAAAACGTTAGGAACTTGAAATAATAGTTAATGACGCAGCAATCTAGTTGTGGTGGTTGATACTTTAATGTCCGACATCGACTGACACACCAACACCACTGAGCCCCCTGGCGACTGCTACTACCACTACATTATATGTGGGAAAGTCTATTTACAATAGAATAGGTATGTTCTAGTATAACAATGGGGTACCACTTCGTCAGTCAGAAGTTAGTTCTCCAAATAGGATAACATACTTTCAACACTTGTGTCCCGGGCTGTGCACTCGAATACCTCCAGTAGCGTTTCTTCACATCAATGTAAATATGAATTTGAATAATTTCTTCACTAATACTGAGATTTTAAATGAATATATATTACTTTTTAACTTTTTTCACTCATACAAGGCCCAAGGGCCCCTCAAAGTAGAACGTTACTGAATGAAGTTGTCGTATGTAGATAAAGGTTTGAGAGTCTCTTCCATAATGCATCGGAAAAGAAGTTGTCCGAGTGGAGGTTCCTGCTTACCAATGGAATATGAAAGGAATTAGGATGAGTTGTCTCAGTGTGTGTGGCCTGGCGGGTCCTAGCTGTGAATATCTGGTGGAACCAAGGATGTTCGCTCGGACATCTGCCAGGGAAATAGCGATAGATTAAGCGCGAGGCAAGCAACGTTTCATCTGTGGGAAAGAGGTTGTAGGGTGGAAAACACGTCATCAATAACAAGGCTGCATAAACGCCTTTAAGCACGTCCAGACCAGATATGGTACCAATATTTCTTTTTTGGCATGATCTGACTTTTGTAAACATTATACAGGCTGTGGTTGAAATATCTGCCACATATTCCACCTCCATAAATACCTTCCACAGAATAGTAAGATTTTAGCTAGTTGAAGACCTTATTACCATTAATATCTTACCATTACGTGGGAGCTATTTCTGTGAGATATATGTGGAAGATATTTCTGCCGCATCCTGTATAAACAGCTAAATAGATCGATATTGCGAGTGCTAATTTTGTTGCTAATAATGATGATAATAACATCAGTAATAAAATAATAATAATATATACAATTTTTATCAATAGGCAGTGCGTGTAGTTTAACGGTTATCGGCGTTGAAAATGGAATTAGGAATCAGAGTTCAATTCCTGTTCTAGCCAGGTTCATTTTTGCACAATTACCTTTGGGGAAAGCATAAATTAATATCATCTCCCACCAGCTATAGGTTTAATAGCAGCTTAGATATGGCCCTCTGGCCTTGGTTAACAGCCGGTCTAGGAGAATAACTATTCCAAATTCAAAAACAAAAGTAACAGGAAATTACTCCACCGCAATACCTTGGCTTCCCTGAAGTCTTGAAGAATGAGTTCTCTGAATTCGAAAGCGTGGGGGAGGCATCGGGAAACTACTTCACTATCTTTCCCAAGAGGTCACGGCAATTCCCAGATGTTAAAGAAAGGATGTTATGATCGCCTACATCCAGTAAGAACATGGCATTAAGAAAACTGATGGTAAGAAGAATAAATTATATTGGTAAATTGGTAGATGAGATTGTTTTTTTCTTCTAAATACTCACCCAAGACAAGGTGTAAGAAACACTAAAAGTAGATGGTTACTGAGTGAGGTTTTTGTGTAGATGTAAGAGGTGGAAGTAAATGCAGATTATGAGAATATATAGAATAGATAATATTTGACTGTAGTCTTGAAAAGGTTAAGATCATAGTTATCGAGGAAGTATTCTCTTGGAAGTCTGTTCCACTAAGTAGCGGTAAAAGATGATGGAACCGTGGAGAAGGCAATCGCCCTCAAGAAGTCGTTGCAATTCTCAGATAATAAAGAAAAGGAGTCTGTGGAGAGCCATGATCACCTACGCCCTGAATTCTACTGCCAATAAAACTATCTAACAGGAGAATGCGTAGTTGTTAGCAGAAGGAACAGCCCAACATGCAAATTAAAAAATTGGAGATACCGAAAAAAAACAAAATTTTTTTTTAGATATATGTGAAGTGTTTTAACAGAAGACGAATGCGCATTGGGATAGCGAAAGATGCCTTCTAAAAGTTAAGTAAAGTATTAAGAATTAAGAAGGTTTCGTTGGAAACAACGAAAAGAGTACTGAACTGTTATTTGATATCAGTCTTCTCATATAGTGATGAATGCTGGACCATCTCTACGCAGGTGAAGAAGAGATTTGAAGCAAAAGAAATATTGTTCTACGGAAGGATACTGAGAAAGCCATAGACAGAACATATGTAAGCAATAACGAAATTTTAGACAAAATGTAAACAAAAAGGACTCTTATACTTAATATCCAAACGAAACAGTTGAATTTTCTAGGTCACATCATGAGGAAAGAGGGCTTGGAAAATTTGATACTCACATGACAGATCGAAAGCAAGTGGTAGGGATGAAAACAACACATAAAACAACAGATTTACTCTAGTGAGCTTGAGTGAATGGATGGTGAAACAGTATTTAGGACAGATAACAAAAATACAAACTTTATTAAAAGCTACAAAGGATAGGAAATTGGGGAGAGTCATGATCGCTTCGTCTTGCAGGGACGCGGCACATAGAAGAAGAAGAAGAAGAAGAAGAAGAAGAAGAAGAAGAAGAAGAAGAAGATAGAATAGTAAAGATTATGTAGATAACAGTTTTATTGAAAATAGTAATGAGAAAAATACCTGAGCTGTCTCAGGGTTTTCGAGGCAACAAACCCAAGCCCAGTGCTGCTAAATATTGACTTCATTCTCGCTTATTTTTTTAAAAAGTAAACAAAACGGTAGTGAAATTCAAAAGCACTGGGTTTTCAGATGTAATACAGCACTGGGCTTTCAAAAATAGCCCAGTTTGATAAAAGAACATCTATGTCTATAATCTACGCAAGGGAATGGTCAGTGAGAACGATACAACGTAGACTTTGCCTTCTAGAAGTCTGCGAGAATCTCAGTGGGTAGTCGTTCTTCCTGCAGTACTGTATGTCATATGATCTCTACTCTCTACCACCACGAATACTACACCCCCATGAAAGAATCTTTTAATTTCAGCGCCGGTCACCCAGTGGTCACTCCTTGCCCTCTTAGCTACTACTCTGGTTCTTTTATGTCGTAATGACCGTACCAACAATTAAGAACCTTTATAGCAGCTCGGATTGAGGAATCGGAGAGCCGAGTTCAAATTCCAGTTGAATCCATTACATTCACTTATGTGCTAATACCTTTGGGAAAGGTATGAATCCTCTTCTTCTCCGCCCCCAGCTATGGGCAAATAGCAGGAGAGACCGGGTTCTATAGCCTTGGATGGCAACTGGTCTACCGCAGAAAGAAATGGCAACCTATTGCGGGAAAAAAAATCTGCCTCGTCAGTCATGTATCGAAAGATACATGATCGCCTAAGCGTGTATCATGCATGGCACATAACTGACTGAGTCTACGAAGTTCAGCTCTTGGAAGATAACCCGCAATATGTCTATTCGACGTGAATCGACAGTGTCTATGCATGGCTTGGAGCCAGCTGGGAGCGTATATGAAATGAACGGATCTGCAAATATCAGAGATCAAAATTGATAGATTGATTTGTTTTCTACGGTTTATCAACCATTCGTAAGTTTATTTAAAAATCAGAAAATATTTTTAGTTAGTAAAAAAATTTTTGTTTTTGTCGGGGCAGATAATAATAATTTAGTGATACAAGTCTTACTAATTATCCCACAGATAAGTGAAATGGATTCATATCTTTACCAAAGAATTTGCGAGTAAATGAATATAACGAACCCAACTGGAATTGTAACTCGGTTCTCCGATTAACAATTCCGAGCCATTGTCCATTACACCACCCGCACATCCAAGCTTATAGCACCTGGTATTCGCAAGCAGTCGCTCATCTAGTTACTGAGCAGGCTCGATTTTGCTTAACTTCGATGATCATACGGGAACCGGTTTTTCAACCTGGTTTGATCGTAAGCCAGAGATCAAAAGACTTGTGCTGAAAATAACCCCGCATAAATAAATTAATTTAAGACCCATCCTAAACACTGGATATGAGATTTATATCCCTTTGCTTACTGACTCTGAGAATCCACCTTCTATATTGGTTCCCAAAGATGCAGTGACACTAAAACGATCTTCAAGGAATCGTCGAAAACTGTCTCGATAGCCTGACCAATAAAAAAAAGGGCAGGCAGATAAATGGAACTCTTCATATCATAATTACCTCCCTTAGTATTCTGTTCAATATACAGGGTATCCTTAAAATCTGGACACAGGAAAAAATGCATAGTTTTAATAAATGAAATTTTCAACAACATTTTATTGAATTGTTATTAACAAATAACATCTTCAATAAGATTTCCATCATTTGTGATGCAAAGGTTGATGCGCTTTGCAAGATTCACGTGAACTTGATGCAATAACTCCACATTGCCTCCAATGTTAGTACATTCACTCTTTATGTGTTCAATCAAGTGTGTTGCATCTGTGATTTTCATTGAGTACACCTTCTCCTTTAGCATACGCCAGAGAAAGAAGTCAGTTCTTTCTTCTTTCGACAAAACCATGTTTAACCTGTGTAGGTAACATTTGCTATGTGTCCAGACTTAGGGACACCCTGTATATTTGTACCCTCTTGGTATTTTCTTATTTAGCGTTAGCCCCGTCAAGAGTCACTTTGTTTATTAAACCGACGTCAAGTTTTTTTTTTTGTTTCTTTTGTTCTTATAACAACTATATAAAAGAAAGCGAAAAACCAAATAGCGAACTTGACCTTGCAAGACAACTAAAATAGATAAACAAACAGGAACATGAAGGTCGCAGTAGTGCTAACGATAGTCGGAGAACTGGGAATAGTGCGGAAAAGCTTGGCAAAGGTGTTGGAAAAGCATAAAATTTGCGGAAGAATCGAGATAATTCAGCTGGCAGCGATACAAAAATCAGTTAAAATACTGTGAACAGTGTTGAAATATGTGTTAGACTTGCTGTCTCTAGTCACTGCTAGTATAAAAAATAGTAATTTAATGCAGCCAATTATTTCAGAAGAATTTAAAAAAAAATTAAACATGATAGGTTATGAACGGCAATCCACTGGGCATAGTGCAAATATTTTACTCAGTTTTGGAAGAAAGTAACAATAAAATTATTTGTTTTAAAACTCTATGCCCCTTCTTATTTTAACTCTCCATGCCTTCCTTTTCTTTAATATCTGTGAATTGTTGTAATTTTTTAGGATAGTGATTATCCATTACACCAACCGCACATCCAAGATTATAGCACCTGTTATTCGCAAGCGGTCGCAAAGGAGTTAGATCTTGTTGTTTCCAAGGTTTTGAATTCAGAGTAGTTTTTTTTTTAGTTACAGGCCAAGCCTATTCTGTTATTTAACCCATAACTAGAAAGAGATGTAGATTCATACCGTTCCCAAAAGGCATATCTGTGAAAATGAACGAAACAGGTAAGTCTGGGATTTGAACACGGCTTGTTGATACAACTTTCCGCAACACTAACCGTTATGTTAGTCGCACATTCAAATGCTGCAGAACTTCGAAATTCAAACGAATCACCAAATCCAGGCCATCAGAAAAGACAACTAATCAGATAAGTGGCTTCGTTATTGCAGACTACTCCGGGGATGAAACTGAAACATCATGAAAAGTTGAATAATATATCTGAACCTTTCCCTTTCCGTCTGAAAGTTGTACCCATGTGTGACTATGGACACCCCTGTAGAAAGGACAGATGTGCTTTTATCTCGATCTCAAATGTCTCTGTTTGATAAACCAGTGGATGGTTCCTTTCAAATTTCGGTCTTCTAAGTGGCATCCACTTTAACCGAAGGAGAGTTGGAAGTAAAAGTGTGAATGAGGGATTTTTGGTGATCAAGTGTCGACAAAACCGGAAATAGGGTATATCCAGATGTTGGCCTATATTAACAGTCATGCTTGGGATCGTATTGCTAACTACCACGTCGGGATGCGTGCATGGGTAAAGGATTTGGTCGGTGGTAGAGCTGATATAGCAGAAGTTGTCCGAAGTATCACCTGTCTAGCAAGACGAGCAGGTGAAGCTTTTAATAAAACAAACACATATTTTACTTAAAATAATTTCACCCCATGCAAAGTATTAAAGACACTAAGACACAAAGTGTTACTGAAAAAAGAGAAATATTAAGGAATGAGAACAATAAAAGAGTAATCAAGAAAACAGTAACGATTGATATTCCATTTAAATTCTTGAAGACCAGAGTTGTCTGGAAAGCGTGGAACCGGAAGAGAGTTCCACAAGCGAGAAGTGTGAGAGAAGAAACTGTTAACATAGAACCTTCGGTTACATAATGCCAACTCAACTGTATATTAATGAAACCTTGTTGCCAACCTAGTACTGCGCTTAAATTCATAAATTCTGGGTACCATAGCGTAAAGCTTATAAGGATAATTAGCATGAAAGTATTTATAAAAAAAGGCACAGAGAGGCAACCTTATGGCGGTGAGAAAGTGACTGAAGCCGAGACACCAGATCAGGACAAATAATATTACTGATTCTTCTTTGGATTTTATCAAGAATCTCTAGATATATAGCAGGAGAACCGGGCCATATGTGGCAGCAATATTCCAGGTGTGGACGAATGGTAGACTTTTAAATATCCAAGATAGATTCTGGAGAGAAAAATTGTCTCGCACAACATAGTAAACTAAATTTCTTAGCAGCAGGATTCAGTATAATATTTCCACTTCATGTCAGTTGAGAATCTTAGCCCGAGAAGGTGCAACTTATAAGACTCCTATAGGTTAGCATCAGCCATGCTGAAGGGAGACAGAAAGGAGTCTCAGATAATTAATAGAGATAGGTTTCGTTTTGGAGACGCTAAAATTAATAAGCCATCGCCTGCCCCAGTTAACAGCAGATTGTAGGTCATCTTTTTGAGATTAGCTGCCAATTCGAATTTATCAAACTGGTCAGACTTGCTATCGAGAATATGAGAAACAGAGTCCGCGTTCTTATTTCTTGATGTGGCGTTTTTCTTTCATCTGGTTACCTTGTGAGCGTACAGCGGACCCTTCCCCAGCTGTCGATGCACAACGACGAAATCGAAAATCGTAATGCTACATGGGGTAATCAGTGGCCGGTAGGTGGGAATATTGAGCGAGGGTCGCGTCATTAATGTCGTGCTTAAAACAATTCTGAAGAGTCTGGTACAAAGATTAGAAGACGAGAATCGAGAATAAGAATCAGATGTCCGTGTCCAAAATGAAAAAAAAAAACTTTATAACTCGTCAGTAATGAGGAAATTTTTTTGAAGATAGCGTCTTGTACGCGATACCAAGATTGCAGATAAAAAACTTTTTCCATAGAAATTTTTTAATAGCTAAAAGAAAAATTTGCATTACTAGATGATCCATTTTTCTGCATAAAGACCGGTTGTACTATTAATGAGGCATCTTCCATTGAACGTCCACTGGACCTAAAGTTCATCTCAGGCCTCAAGTAGAAATCATATAGACCAAGGTTTCCCAACAACGGCGATATTGCCCACCGGTGAGCGATTTCAACTGTTGGGTGGGCGATGAGCAACTGAAAAGAAAATGGTGGCTGACTGGTCACTTTGGCGGGCGATATAGAATTTTGAGTGTTAAAAAGGTATTTCAACATATGATGCCCGAAAAAAAATACTCAAAAATATATGCAAAGAAACTGTATAAAAAACAGGAGGCTAAATGAGAATAACTGGTTCTCCACAAAGAACGAATAATTTGGTATTTTCTATAGTTTTCAGAAGGGTCACTAACATTTGAATAATTCTTAAGGCAAAATAACATTTTTTCGGTTATAAATCAGATAAAAAGAGAACAAAATCAAAAAATATTCCTCGATCTTTTTTATAAAATCGTTTAATTTTTTTTCAACACTTTTTAACTAACACTAACCATAAAACTAACTTTGACCATAAAATTAATTAATTATTATAATCAATAATTATAGACTTTACAACGGTTAAATTTGCTTTCTTTTATTCTTTAATATGATGGTAGCTCACAAGAAAATTAAATTTCAGCATTAAATGACCCATAAGCATTTGATATGCCGTTAAACAAATCAGTCAATCAATCGATAAACTACAGAAATTGAACTAACCTATCTGTTAAAAGACAGCAGAAAATGTGATACCGAAATCTGAAGGTGCACTGGAATAGTGAAAGATGCCTTCTGAAAGCTAAACAAAGTATTAAGGAACAGGAAAAATTTGTTAGAAACAAAGAAAAGAGTTCCCAACTGCTATGTAGTATCAATCCTCCTATACAGAGAATAATTTCCTCATAGATGAAGAGGAGACGAGGAAACGGAGATGTGATTCTACAGAAGGATGCTGAGAATAACATGAATGGAACATGTGCGCAACAAGGAAATTTTAAGGACAATAGAAGGAAAAAGGACACTTAGAAAGGGATAGTTGAAAATTCTGGGGTTTATGAGGAAAAAGGGCTTGGAGAATTTGACACTCACAGGATATATTGAAGGCAAGTGGGACAGAGGGGAACACCAAGTAACCTACCTAATGAATTTGTGTAAATGGGTGGTAAAACAGAGAGTGGGATGGATGGTGAAAAGACAGCTATACAAAGAATAGGAAGTTGTGGAGAGTCATGATTGCACACATCCTGAAGGGACAAGGTACTTAGAAGAGGGAGTATTTAACTAACTGTTAAAGAATTGCATGTGCATGATAACGCTAATAACTCAAGGCAACTCAGATGTCATCCATTATGAGAATCCAGAATCAACCAACCAAATAACCAACATGAAAGAACTATTTCATGACATTAGTACATATATCCTACAATTTCCTAAACAATATTCCAAAATATAACAATATAAAACATACATATCATCGCCTCTGTCATCTCCACACAAACATGTATATGCATAAATACTGAGTATCATCTACCATGTATTCAATTGTGAAAGCAGTAATG